GAGAAACAGAGGAATGGAAGTTAAAGCAACATTGAAATACTGTTTCTTGCCCTAACAGAATAAAAACTAGGCTTCTGTGTGTTGACAAGGATGTGAAACAGTGGGAATTCACAGCTTGTAAGAGTGTGGATTTGGTACAACCATTTGGGGAGCAATTGAACAATATCTGCTAAATCACAGATATATACTGTATACCCTACTACTCAACAATTCCATATATATATATATATATTCTTAAGAAAGTCTCACACATCTGTACAAGGAAACATGTATAAGAAAGTTCTTTACAGTATGTTTAGTCATAGGGGAAATTAGAATCAATATAAATGTCCATTAATTTTATAAAGTGGATAAATAAATTGTGGTGTACTCATACAATGAAATACTGTACACAATTAGAATGGATACATATACATGTGTCAATAAATCTCAAACACAATGTTAAAAATAAAAGGAACTTGAAAGAGAATATATAAAGCATAGCTTATTTACATAAAGTTAAAAGAATACAAAAATACTATGTGTTGTTGTTATATACATTAAAAATGTAAAAATGTGTAGAAATGATAAACATCAAATTTGGGATAGTGATTACCTTGGAATGAATACAGTACTATGGGTGGCTCCTGGTTTATCTGTGATGGCACATGATAGGTAAGAATTCATAGTGGAAGCCATCATTTGAATTACTGGTTTAACTCCTTTATATCTCAGTTTCCCTATCTGTAAAATGAGGATGATAAACATTACATATCTCATAGGGTTACTGTGAGGGTTAAATGATTTAATATATGTAAAACACTAGAACAGTGCCTGGCATACATCAAATGCTATTTAAGTATTTGCTATTTTTTTTTTTGGTAAGGAAAAAGAAAACAAGATTTGAAACAAATATGGCAAGATGTTAACATTCATTAGAGTTTGGTGGTAGGTGCACAGGTAATCATCTTATTATCCTATACTTAAAAAGTATTTTAAAGTGTAAACAAATACAATAAAGGTAAATGACAAATCAGGAAAATTGTGACAATACAAATAGTACTAATAGACAAAAGGGTAATATCCTTAATATATAAAGTATGTTTATAAACCATACAAAAAAGCAAACACCTTAATAGAACAATTAAGAGCAAAGGATATGAACAGAAAATTTCACCAAATAAGAAATACAAAACAAAAAGAAATGTCCAATAAAACAAGAATGTCCTGTTGGATGAGAAAAGGTCATGGGAACGGAGTACCCAGTATTAGCATAGTTAAAGGGAAGCAGTTACTCACATGCAGCTCGTGGAATTGGTTAAAACCTCTCTCCGAGGATCATTTAGCACTATGTGTCAGAATCTCTGAAAAACATTCATTGACTACACAATTTCATCTCCAGAAATCTTTCCTAAGAAAAGAATTAGACAAGTTGCTTTAAAACAAGCATGTAAAAGGATATTTATTGTGGCAATGTTTTTAATAGGGGAAAAGGAATGACTATCACAGGGAAATGGCTAAACCAGTTATAGCATATCTGTACAGTGGAATGTGCCACAAATGTAAAAAAAAAAAGGAAAGAAGAGAGAGAAAGAGGAGGGAGGAGGCAGGAAAGAAAGAAGGAAGGAAGGAAGGAAGGAGGGAAGGAAGGAAGAAAGGAAGGAAGGAAGGAAGGAAGGAAGGAAGGAAGGAAGGAAGGAAAAATGATGCTATAGATTGTGTTTAATTGGCATGGAAGGATGTTCACAAGGTACTATGTTTTAGATACAGGTTTATAGTGCATGGAATATGGTCCCATTAAAGTCATATGCCAAGGTCAAAGAGAATTTGGGGTTCCCCATAAGTTCCCCCAATTCCTGGAAAGCGGCCATTTGCACTCATTGCTCAGTGAACCTCCTGCCAGGAGTTAGGGGAAGTGGGTCACCATGCTCAGAGCCTCCATCTGCCAGATCCCAGTGAGCCTATAAAACATGCAGAGTTGTTTATATCTGAAGGCAGCCCCTGCCTGGGTCTGGAGCTCTTGGCCACTCTCAGCAATCACAATAAATGCTGCTGACAGTAACAGTAATCACCCTCTCATGCAGAGTATCCACTTCACAGCCATTAGCTATAACTCCTAGAAACCTCCTGTGGAGTTGTTATTATTATCCCCATTTTATATATGAGGACCCTCAAGGCTCAGAGAGCTGAAGAAACTGGCCCAAGATCACACAGAGGCAGCCCCTGCTCTGGAATCCGGGCCTGGCCACCATTCTCTGCATATCTTAAACCATCTAGCTTTGATCACATGGCCTCAGAAAGCCTGGCATGAGCCTGTGGAAGGAGGAGGTCTGTTACCAAAATGTATGTACTTCTCAAGCTTAGCTACACATTAGAATCACCTGGGAAGTTTTTTTCTCTTTTTAATCCCCATAACTGGGTTCCACTCCAGTCCAATGTAAGTAGAATCTCTAGGATGCGACCCAGGCATCCATATTTTTAAAGCTCCCTACGTGATTACAGAGTGCACCAAGTTTGAGAGCTCGTGGTCAAAAACAGCACTTGAACTTTAAATCCCAGGAATCTGGTCAAAACATAGATTCTAAGTCAGCAGGTCTGGGGCCTTACAAGATTCTGCATTTCCAAAGAGCTTCCAGGTGATGCTGTAGGTCCCTGAAAAACCTTTTATCGTTTCCCCGAAGGGCACTCCCCAAGAGCCTCTCCTGTCTTTTTTTTTCCTGAGTCCTAGCTCCACCTGATCACTGCCATCTCGCCACCAAAACAGCTGGGAGCCTGGACAAAGTGAGGTGCAGGGCTTTTCCTGAGCTGCCTTCTCTAGAAATGAGTGTCGGCACTCATGGGTGTCAGACCCACCCTGGTGCACCCCGGCAGTGCTGGGGAAGATCAGAAGTGGGGGTCCAAGGGAGGCGCTACCCGGGCCCCACCCGTAGGGGCTCTCAGGGAAAGTGTGCAGGCTGTGCTGCTGAGTGAGGGCTCTAAGCACAGCTGTGTGTGTCTGAGGCTGGGTAGGGAAGGCTCCTGGAAGTAAGCAGAGCAGCACAGGACAGGCAGGACGTGGCGCACGGAAGGTCAAAGGCTCAAACATTCGTTCATCTATTCAACAGATACTAGTGGACCACCTATGGGCTGGGCATCGTTCCAGGTACAGTAGGGAAAGGTCCCTGCCATCACACAGCCTATCTTCTAAACAGACGAGGCTCGATAAACAAATAGCTGTTAGATGGTGGTGTGAGGCAGAGGAAAATGAAGCAAGGATGGGAAATAAGGAATTTGGTGGGAGGGAGGCACATTTTAAGTTACCAGGACACCCATGGATCAGGTGGCTCTGAAGGGAGTGAGTTATGCGGCTGGGGAGAGGCATGACCCAGGGAAAGGGAGCAGCAAGTGCAAAGGCCCTGAGGAGGGGACAGCAAGGAACAGGCGTGGCTGGAACAGGAGAGCAACAGGCAATGGGGCGGGGGTTGAAAAATGTATGGAAACAGGTTTGGGTGCTGGGGAGAGAAGCAGGTCTCAAGGCTGTCTCTCTCTGTGTGAGGAATGCAAACTGAGGCTGGAGGATTTCAGGGTCCCTCCCTTTCCCAAGACCCGGCTGATGGAGGAGCAGTTCCCTCTGGGCACAAGCACTAAAGGGACCCCTGAAGTCAGGAGGGCTGGGCTGGTGGGTGGTGCCCTGTGTGGCAGTGCTGAGGAGCCCGCCCACCTGCCCTCCTGGTGCCTACCCCTGAGCCAACAGCATCGCGCTGCCCTCCAGCCCACCTCCACAGGGCCTCTTCTGAGCTGATGGGGAGAGGATGGCACTGGGGTGGCCAGCAAATGCCTCTCTTTCTAGCACAGAGCTCCGTCAGGGCAGGTGCCCAGACCAGAGTGACCTCCCCACCTGATCGCGAACCCCGGTGAGGTGCCTCGGCAATGCCCGTCTCTGACCCCCACCTCCTCACAACTGCTGCAGGCCTGACACTGTTCTCAGGGGTCCTCTGGCCCTCTGGCTTTAGCCCTCCCCTCCAAAAGACCCTGAGTGCCTCCTCACTGCCCTCAGGACAGTCCCCCAGCTCCTCAGCATGGTCAAGAGGCCCTGCATACAGGACCCCGACTTCCTGCCATCCACACCGTCACAGAACATTCTCTCCTCAGTTGGCACACTGCAGGGCAGCTGGCACGGCTCTCTGGTCCTCTGCACCTTGGGATCCTTGACCACAGGGTTCTGCCGGCCAAGGCTGGGCAGCTTGGGACTCGTAAGTCCAGGCAAAGTTCAGCCTCTGCCCACTCAGGAATGTTTCTGGAAGAGAGAGGAGGTTTCTCTAAATTCTGGAGAGCAGCACTGGGTTCCTCTCCTCATTCTCAAACCTAATAGCTACGTGACCCCAGACAAGTTACTTAACCTCTCAGTGCCTCAGTTTCCTTACCTGTAAACTACAGGCAATGATACTTCCTAATGGGGTTGTTGGATGAATCAAAAGAAACCACATGTGCACAGTGTTGTGACCAGCACTTGGCACGTAGCCCTCGGGAGGCAGTGGCTGCTGATTATCACAGTGGGCAGAGTCCAGTAGGTGGATGAGGAGGAAGGGCCTCCTGAGGAGCAGGAACAGCAAGGACAGAGACTCTGGGTCAGGGAGCCATGAGCGTCATGGTGATGCGTGGATCCGGCATGTGTTGGGTGAAAGCCCTTCCTGTGGACACACAGATCAGAAGTCTAGCGCTAGGTCATGTCACTGTCCACCGCAGGTGCCCCCTAGAGCTGTGAGTCTCTGTGGAGCCTGCAAAGGGCCCAGGCCCTTCCCGACGGCCAAGCTGTGTGCCTGGTGTGCTTGGTGAGCAGCTGCAAGGGCTGGGGGAGCAGGCTGGAGAAGAGAGCTGTCCCCAAGGGCTGGGCCATGGCCAAGCAAACCCCCACTGGGAGCCTGGGCGCAGTCAGAGCTGGCAGCCCTGGAGGGAGCCCCTGCCACAGCGAGAGTCAGGAGGCAGGTGCCCCTGCTGGCCAGGGGTCTTTCCATCCTGAACAATGCCTGCTCCCTCCTCAGGTCTTCACAGGGATTTTCACAGCAGAGATGACCTTCAAGATCATTGCCCTCGACCCCTACTACTACTTCCAACAGGGCTGGAACATCTTCGACAGCATCATCGTCATCCTTAGCCTCATGGAGCTGGGCCTGTCCCGCATGAGCAACTTGTCGGTGCTGCGCTCCTTCCGCCTGGTACCTGGCTGGACCCACCGCAAGCGGGGGTGGGCGGGGTGGGGGTGGAGGGCCGGGCACAACCCAATCTGAGGTCATCAATTGGTCATCCCTACTTTGATCTGTCATGCCTTCACTCAACAGCCATTTGCTAGGTACCCCTGGATGCCTGGCCCGGTGCTGGTGATGGTGGGGTACAGAGGCAGGCAAGGCAGGAGACATTTCTCCAGAGGAGCAATTGTGGTGGCCATCCTGATGAATTGCAAAGCCCTTTGTGGTCCAATGTGACCCCTTTAGCCCTCACAGGATCCAGGAGTGGGGCTGGTATTACTACATTTCCATTTCACAGATGAGGAGATTCAGAGAGATGACACGAATTTCCCACAGCTACATGGCAGATAACAGAGGGAGCTGGGCTGCTAACTGCTCATCCGAGGTTCCGCCTGCTGGTTTCTGAATCAGCATCTTTAAAATATTAATGCACACACACATCACCTGGGGATCTTGTTAAAATGCATATGCTGATTCAGTGAGTCTCAGGTGATGTCAAAGCTGCTGGTCTGTGGACCATACTTGGAGCTTGAAATGCTTGAGAGGTCCAGACATGGGGCGGGAGGTGTAGTCAGGGAAGGCTTCCTGGAGGAAGTCCTGAGCACTGTCGGTTGCTGCACATACAGCGGATGGGTGTGGAGCGGCGGGGAGTGTGTAGGAAGGCAGGATGGTGGAGGCAGGAGGGAAAGCCAAGGCTGTGGGTTCTAGTCCTGACTCCACTGCTATGAACCAAGGGACTTAGACAAGTTACTCCACCTGTGAGGGTTGGCAGCTTCTTCTGTCAAATGAGGTAATGCCAGTGCCAACCTCATGTGGTTATTGGGAGTTCTGACTGAGTTCATCCATTCTAAGCACAAGGCCTGGCACGCAGACATTCAGTAAGTGTTAAGCACCTTCCCCCCTTTCTCTGTGATGACTGAGAGGCAGAGGTGACTGGACGACTCAGAGATGGTTTGAGCTGCCCTAAAGGATACGTGATGAGGACAGGTATGAAAGAGCAAGGACACTCCCTGTTGAGAGAATGTAGTGGGCAGTTCCTGGAAGTGAGGCCAAGGCAGAGAGGAGGCTGGTGTGGGGACGAAGAGAAGGGCTGAGCTGGGAAGGTGAGGCTGGAGCTGTTGACCTGAGCGCCAGAGCAGTGCCCAGTGAAGCTGCCCTCAGGCTGTGGAGACAAACAGTAGTGGGTGCTCTGGGAAAAATGGGGGGAAAAATAGGTGTCAGTGCCCTCCAAGGACTCCCTGGACTTTCAGGCAGGAGCTAGAGAGAGTGAGGGTGCCCGTGGGCAGCAGGAGCCAGAGACCCTCACAAGGTCCCCTGCTCTTCCTCCTTCCCCAGCTGCGGGTCTTCAAGCTGGCCAAATCGTGGCCCACCCTGAACACACTCATCAAGATCATCGGAAACTCAGTGGGGGCACTGGGGAACCTGACGCTGGTGCTAGCCATCATCGTGTTCATCTTTGCTGTGGTGGGCATGCAACTTTTTGGCAAGAACTACTCAGAGCTGAGGGACAGCGACTCAGGCCTGCTGCCTCGCTGGCACATGATGGACTTCTTCCATGCCTTCCTCATCATCTTCCGCATCCTCTGTGGAGAGTGGATCGAGACCATGTGGGACTGCATGGAGGTGTCTGGGCAGTCATTGTGCCTGCTGGTATTCTTGCTTGTTATGGTCATTGGCAACCTTGTGGTAAGTTGGCCAAGGGCCTCACACACACACACCATCCACTCATCTACCCAGCTACCCACCGATCCAATTATCCATTTACTTACCCTTCTATCACTCCATCTACCCATCCATCCATCCATCTATTCATTTACCCACATGTCCATCTAACTACTCACTCATTTATTTCATCCACCCGCCATGCACTCACTTACTCATCCATCTATATACTTATCAACAAACCATCTATTCAATGTACCCATTTATTCTTGCACCTATATGCTCATACAGCTGTCTACCTATTGATCATCCACTTATCAATCACCCACCCACCAACAAACCCACCCATCCATCTATTCAGCACTCCAGCAATCAGAAGGATCAGCAGATCCTTCCCTAGTTACCAAGCCACCCATCCATTTATCCACTCATTCACCTTGTCATTCATCCATCAACCCCCTTTTGCTCATTCACTCATCCGTTCACTAATCTGCTTATCAGTCATCCATTCATCAACCCCCATTCACACACTTACGCATCCATATGCCCATTCATCTATCCACCCATCCATTCACTTACACAACCATCCATCCCTCCCTTCATCCATCACCCATCTGTCCACTCACCCAACCATTCACTCCTCTACTCATTCATCCACCCCCATCTATGAACTCACCATTCACTCATTCACCAATTCCATCTATCTACTCATCTGTCTATCCAGTTGTCTACTTACTCACTCATTGACCCATCCATCTATTCACTCATTCTTCACCACATTTTTTTTTTGAGACTGAGTTTCACTCTTGTCGCCCAGGCTGGAGTGCAATGGCATCATCTCGGCTCACTACAACCTCTGTCTCCCAGGTTCAAGTGATTCTCCTGCCTCAGCCTCCCAAGTAGCTGGGATTACAGGCATGCACCACCATACCTGACTAATTTTTTGTATTTTTAGTAGAGACAGGGTTTCACCATGTTGGCCAGGCTGGTCTCAAACTCCTGACCTCAGGTGATCCGCCTACCTCGGCCTCCCAAAGTGCTGGGATTACACGTGTGAGCCACTGTGCCTGGCCTCTTCACTGCATTTTGCTCATTCATGCATTTACCCACTTACTTACCTATTATTCATTATTTACTCATTTTGTTTTCATTCATTTACTTATCTGTTCATCTACCCATTGTTTTACTGTCACACACTATCAATGAATTATCACATGGTTTTTCAATTTATCTTAAACATTTGCTAAGCCATTGTTGCATGGAAAACATTGTGCCACATGCTGTTGGGCATACAGAGGCAAATGAGGTCTAGCGCTAGCCCTGACATCACTCACCAGCTTGAGAGATGACTGGGGAGGTGGAGAGTTCAAACAGGCCTGAAATAACTCTCAGACTGGTCAGAGTGATCAGAGCCATTAAGGAGGAGACCGTGGGTACTATTCCCACTCAGCTAGGAAAATCAAGGAAAGCTTTCTGGAAGGGATTTTGGAGCCGATCTGATAAACAGGCAATGCTGAAGAGGGAAGGAGCAGGATGAGCAAAGCACAGGTGCAGACAGGTGGTGGTCCAGGTAAGGTGGGGCCCATAGGAGCTTTATATGTCATCCTGAGTAGTGTGGTAGGAGCCTCTGCTGTCCCATCATGAGGGGCCCACACCGTTGCTCCTGTGGGTACCTGTCTGTCCTTGGGCAGGTACATCTTGTCTTGTGTCTTTACAATGTGGGGAATTCTGGAACTGAGAAAGGTCAAAATTTAAATACCAGAGAAGGTGCCTTAGGAAGAGGCAAGGTTGGGGTCAGTCTGGTTCAGGCAGCAATCAGTGTCCACTGTGGATGTGAAGCTACCTTCCTGGGTACACAGGTGGCCCACACATGCTCAAGCAGCATACCTGCGTTGTCTGGCTCCCACCCATAGCTGTATGTCTCTGTTGTGGGCAGTGCGGTCACATCAGCTCATAGAGAGGTTTTACATTCACTTTTTCAGCCTGCTGTGGGGCAAGTACTATCGGCTATAGATTCCAGAGTCTTCCCCCAAACCTGTCTGACTTCTTCTCCCATGTGCCTTATCCAGGCCAGGACAGGGCCAGCCAATTTGGGATCATTCCCCCGCCGGCCCATGAGCCCACAGGCCAAAGGAATGTGGAGCCCAGAGAGAGCAGAGCCAGGGCTCAGTGCCACTCAGTGCACAATGCCACTAGAACCCTGCTCTTTGGCTGGCCCTCAGCCCCCGCTCATGTCCCCTCAAACTAGTTATCCCTTGGGGTGGACGGTTGCTCAGCCCATCCCAACCCCAGGGCCTGCCAGGCTGTCTATTCTAGGGAGAATGAGGGTTGCCAAGCACTCAGCCCAGGGCCACGCTGAGCCACCTCTCACACGGAGCCCTGCGATTTCCCAGCAGATCTGCCTGAGGATGAGAAAATTAGAGGCTGCTGGAGGAGGGAGCTAATGCCAGCCCCCGCAGCCCCCTCCCCGGCCGCCTGAGGAATTGGGCCTCTGCTGGGCGTGGGAGGAAGCAAGATTGCCATTGAAATGGGAAGTGATGATCAGGCAGGGCTGGGAGCAGCAGCAGCACGATTGATGGGGAAAGCACTGGAAGAAGCTGAACTTCTGAAGCCAGCGACAAGGAGGGCCCTAGACTCCTGTGTGGGTGGGCATGGCTGCCTAGGTACCCACCCTCCCCCCCCCACCCTACTCCCAGCCTAGGCCCAGGACTCCTGGAGGTTGGAGGATGCAGGGCCTGGTGTGAGTGAGGGCTGTGGGGGAAGGATCCAGTGGGCATTCTTCCTGGGAATAGAGGCAGCCATGCCTGGGTCCTTGTAGACAAAGGCCAGGGGCCAGGCCAGAGGTCAGTGTAAAGAGCAGCTCAGAATTGCATCACATGCTTTACCCCGTAGTAATGATAAAGAAGGCTGCCAGGTGTCAAAAGTGATCATCTCTCCGTAGAGAGAGTATGGGAGAGCCTACCTCTTCACCTTCCATACTGTCCGCATGAATATGTATTACTTTTAAGCCAAAGGCATGTTTCTGAGGCTGCTTTTGTCAGAATTCTCATTCCCAGCTTGCTGATAGGGATGAAGTCCCTGGTAGTGGCGTGTTTTAGAGGCTCTTGAGAAACCAGAACAGAGTCTCAGAGTGGATTTCCAAACAGAACTGTGCACCCATCCTCACACACCACGCTGCCATAAAGGCGCTGGGAGGGAGGAGACACCAAGCCCATGGTGGCCTGGCAGCCTGGTGAGCCATGGGCAAGTCTGACCCATGCATGTGGGAATCAGCCCACCGCCATCTTAACTGACCCTCCATGAGACTGGGAAATGGACACAAGCCCAGCCCCTTGTCACACAGCAAAGGCCTTCTTTTTAAACAAAAGCTAAAGCTTCACTCTTGTAGGAGGGCTTAACGGCAAGCAATTCTCCAGAACCATCCAAAGGCAGAGGGTTATGCAACCCCTCTTAAGAAGTCTCAAGTCCCTAAGCCCTGATGATAGACCTCAATAAAATACTGCACCCTGAGGAACCTCCAACACTGCACCCTCCCCTGGCTCCCTGCAGCATAGCAGGCCTTGACCTTCACACAGTACCCTTCCTAGCCTAGACTACCCTTCCTAGCCTACCCTCACAGCCTAGATACGGTCAGCTCTCAGTGGCCTGACCCCATGGTTAGTCCAAGTGTCTGAGGGCTGCGTGTGCCTTCCTGACCTCTTTTCCAGTCATTGCACCTTTCTCTGCCCAGTCCCAGCATCCCTCACCTGGAAAGCGTGGCAGACCTGGGCCTCAGGTGGCATGTGCCCTACAGCAGCAGCCCCAGGCCTCTGAGCACCAAGCTGGCTTCAGTGGGGAACTCAGAGGCAGGTCACTGCTCCTCCTCTTTCCAACAAAGTCCCAAAAGCTCTGGGTGGCTTCTCAGTGGGATTCTGTCTTGTCCCTGGACTCACACTTCCCAGAAAGGAGACCTGTGCCCATCCTAACCCCACTGCCCCTCACTACTCGTAAGGCAGCAGAAAGAGGAAAAGGGAGAAGAAGGCTTGTGTGTAGAAGCCACTGGTGCCAAGACAGGGCTCAGTGTGTGTGACTGGGCTAGCCCCTCACTTTGACACTGAATGCACGCATAGTTCTCCCATGAACCTGAGCCAGGACACGACATCCTCAATTCAGACTGTGTCTGAGCCCTTGGAAAGAAGAATTCGAGTTTGTATTTTCTTTTATAGCCAAACCTTCCATATTCAAGAAAATGAGGGGTTAGGATGAGGGCTCAGGGCCCTGGATTCGAGCCTCGGAGCTGTTTGTCACAGGCAGTCTTAAAGGTCTCTAGGCCTCAGTTTCCCCATCATAGAACTGGGACTGGATGGCTTGGCATGACGCAGTGCCTTGGTAAGCCTGACCCATTATCTCGACAGGTCCTGAATCTCTTCCTGGCCTTGCTGCTCAGCTCCTTCAGTGCAGACAACCTCACAGCCCCTGATGAGGACAGAGAGATGAACAACCTCCAGCTGGCCCTGGCCCGCATCCAGCGGGGCCTGCGCTTTGTCAAGCGGACCACCTGGGACTTCTGCTGTGGGCTCCTGCGGCAGCGGCCTCAAAAGCCCGCAGCCCTTGCCGCCCAGGGCCAGCTGCCCAGCTGCATTGCCACCCCCTACCCCCCACCACCCCCAGAGACAGAGAAGGTGCCTCCCACCCGCAAGGAAACACGGTTTGAGGAAGGCGAGCAGCCAGGTCAGGGCACCCCCAGGGATCCAGAGCCTGTGTGTGTGCCCATCGCTGTGGCGGAGTCAGACACAGATGACCAGGAAGAGGATGAGGAGAACAGCCTGGACACAGAGGAGGAGTCCAGCAAGCAGGTGGGTCCCCACCCCTGCATGTATATACAGGGCCCAGAGCTCTGCTGTCCAGGCCACCCAGCCTCGCTCAAAGCGGCTGCCTCTGCCAGACTGCCTTGGCAGTGGGTAGGGGTAGAAGGCAGGCCCTCCGCACAACAGCCAGCCTCTCAGAGCGGTGCTGAGACCAGCCCTCAACCCTCTCTTCCTAACTCAGTCCAGAAGCCGACCTGGGGAGGCGCTGCTGTCCACCACTCACGCCCTGGCTGGGCATGGGGAGCTCATTGTACGACAGGGAGACTGAGGCATGGCAAGAGAGACTTGCTAGGTGTTCCTCATGAGTTTAGAACAGAGCCTGTAGCCCCCAGTCCCCACACTGACCATTGTCCCCCTCCAGGACTGGCAAGGTAGTGTCTTGGTGAAGGAGAAGTACAGTTTTCTGACCTCCAGACTGCCCCTTCCCCTCCTCCCACGGCCAGGGCTCATTCTGAGATTTAAAAATAAGCATCCCTAAGACTGAGGTGTCAGGGACAGCACTATCTTATCTCCCAACCTGTTATTTTTAACACTGGGGACCAGAGTCTGCACAAAGCAGGCAGGGCCCACCCCTCCCCTCCCCTCCATTTTCCCTTGGCCTGAGCCAGGCTCAGATGGCTTCTCCTTAGGGCTTTAGGTCAAGCCCCCAGGAGTGTTCTCCCTGTTGAGTCCGGCCCATCTTGGCTGCTTCCTCTGGGCCTGCACTGGGTGGGCCTGGCTGTGGAGAGCAGCGGCTCCCCATGTGTGGAACTTGATCTAAGGCTCTGGGCTTGGTTTCACGTCCTCCAGCCTCCCTGTGGTCCCAGAGGCCACCCTTTCAGTCAGGTTGTGGGGCAGTGGCAATGTCTGCTCAGGGAGGGGGCGTGTTGGTGTTGCCAAGACCACAGTTTCCAATGATCTCTAGCACAGGAGGGGAATTCCAGCTGCCTCTGCTTTCCCTTCTCCGTTCCTTCTCTTGAGCCCGTCGACTCTGGCTCTCTGGGGGATGTGTGTGTGTTCTCATCTGAGAGTGCCACAGGGACTTATGAGGGAAGTCAATGTGCCCTTCCTACAGTGGCCAGCATTTGTGAGCTGGCCATCGCGGCCCAGCTGCACCCTTCCAGGGAGTCTGGGGAGGGGGAGTTACGCCAGGCTGGCCAGGGGCTTCGTCTGGCTCTAGGCCCTTTGCCTGAACCTACCAGGAACCTCCCACCTGCCTGCTCAGGCCCCCTGAGGGAGGGGTCTTCAGTGAGATGGAGGCCCCATGAAAAGAGCTGGAGGCAGTGACCGAGATGCACAGGCAGGGTCTGAAACCCCCAGGGTCAGGGACCTGGAGACCTTCTGGCTGGGTGTGTGGACTCAGCTCATAGGCTGGGGTCTTTTCAGCAGGAATCCCAGCCTGTGTCCGCTGGCCCAGAGGCCCCTCCAGATTCCAGGACCTGGAGCCAGGTGTCAGCGACTGCCTCCTCCGAGGCCGAGGCCAGTGTATCTCAGGCTGACTGGCAGCAGCAGCAGCGGAAAGCGGAACCCCAGGCCCCAGGGTGTGGTGAGGTAATGCATGCCTTTGTCCATGAAGCCGGCGGGGCACTGCTGCTTGGCTCAGAGCCAGGCTGTGAGAGGTGCACGCCTGCATTTGCTGTTGGGAGCCACAGCCACTGTCACAGGCAGCGTGGAAGACCAGTCTGCAGAGGGGAGAGTGGGCATCCCTCTCCTGACAGGGGAGAGATGGTGCAGGGCCCAAGGCCAAGGGGAAATTCTGGAAATTCTGGTCCCAAACTCTGGTGCAGTACTAACCCACTACCTCCATGTGTTCACCTTCTCCACACACTCCATCCCTGTGTTTTGGTCCTGTTTGGCAAATGTTTGTCCTGTGAATCTCCTCATCCAAAGACTTCAGGAGGCTGGGCACAGTGGCTCGCACCTGTAATTTTAATACTTTGGGAGGCCAAGGCAGGTGGATCACTTGAGGTCAGGAGTTCAAGATCAGCCTGGCCAACATGGTGAAACCCTGTCTCTGCTAAAAATACCAAAATTAGCTGGGCATGGTGGTGCACGCCTGGTAATCCCAGCTACTCAGGAAGCTGAGGCCTGAGAATCACTTGAACCCTAGAGGTGGAGATTGCAGTGAGCCAAAATTGTACCACTGCACTCCCGCCTGGGTGACAGAGGGAGATCCTGTCTCAAAAACAAAAAACAAAGAAGACTTCAGGGAGCTCTGAGAATGAGCACATTGCCCACCAGCAGCTTCTTATCTGCACCAAAGCAGAGGCCACAAGTGGGAGGCCCACCCAGCCTACCACTGCATTTTGATCTGGCCACAGAAAGGTTTTACTTTAAATTAGCTGCCACTATTTAAAAATTGGGAGCTTTTATGTAAAAATCTGCATTTCCGGCTTCTCTTGAAAAATCAGAAGACGTGCCACCCTGCCAGAGGCAAGTGAGAGCCACCTCCTGGATACTGGCTGGAGTTCTCTAGTTTGCCACAGAGCCACCTGCCTGACTGCATTTTGTTACCTGCCTGATTCTGTAAGCACTGGAGTTTGCAACCCCTGAGCAAGAGGCTGGTGGCATTGCTGACTAAGACGCCCAGCCTCACTCACATCTAGCCCACAGAAGGTGGAGGGCACATGTTCAGAATGCTTGGTGGCCACTGTCCTGCAGCCTGACCTCACTCAGTGCAGCACTTGTGCCTTTTCCTCTTTTGTGAGATGGGCCCATGTGAGTTTTGCAAGCATGGCCAGTTTTTGGAGCACAAGGGCCTACTAGAGTCATCTTCCTGACTGTGCAGATCACGGTTCTCCACCTGATGGTCTGAGCCGTGAAGGCACGTGGGGACAGGAAGACACAGGAGAGAGGCAGAATGTCATGGGAGAGAAGAGGCTCTCACACGGATGCTAACCTTTGAATGAATTTTAAAAGTCTTCCTTCAAATCAATTCATGGGGGAGCCTATATAAGGGAGAGATAGGCTGGAGTTTTCCTGGAAAAGGGACTCCCTTGTCTCACCTGCAGTAGGACCTGAGAACATGTCCTCTCACATGACAGCCCCATGGACTTCAGACAGCTCCAGTGTTTGGAAAGAAAAAATAAGCATGCTGCTCTCCTCTGGCCTGCCTCTTTCATCCCCCAACTCCTTTCATCCCCTAACTGAGCTGGGAGGAGAGGGGAAGGAACCCTCAAAGCCACGGGGAACCACGAAAGGCTGAGCCCCATCTCTCTGGCCAAGGATCCACCTGCACTGAGCAGTAGGCTCTGTTTTCCCTCCAGAATCCATCCCTTTCCCATCACAGATCTCAAAAATGGAAAAGAAGCCCCTAAGGCATCAGCAGATTGATTCATCAAAGGAAAAGAAAAGAAAGAAGGCAGCCGTAGGAGCATAGCCATGCCCAGGAATTCAGACAAGCCCCTCTCTAAATGGAGCCTGGGCCTGAGCTGATGTGAGGTGGCGGCAGCCAAGGTGGGGGCTTTGGACCTGACCTGAAGGGAATGATGGATTTTCCCCCAACATACCCATCTTTACGTCCCGTTCCCTAGAAGCAGAGGGATTCCTGTGCAAATGACTTGTTGAGGGTGTTCTCAGGAGAAACCCATGAGAAAGTAAGAGAAACGGGATGAGGCAAAGGAGGAAGCTACGGAAGGGCTTTCCAGCTGGAGTCAGCCTCATCCTGTCCCAAGTAGAGCTCTGGGGCACGAACTGCACCACAGCATTGTCCCAGCTCAAGGCTAGGGGCTGGCCTTCTGTATTCCTGTATCAGTGGCTGCTGGGCACTGGCCACCCCTCGGGACGGCAGCCCCCAGCTGAAGATGATTTTCTGGAGGAGGGCCAGCTGAGCAGCTAGTGTTCACAGTGGCTGGGAATGGGTGCACTAGTCTCATGCAATGGAATTGGGCAGGGTACCCACAGTGGCCCCTGTAACACCCCTCCACACCCACACCCACAAGTGACACACACGGACACTCACGAGGGCACGCCTGCATGCACAATGCCTCTCTGAGGCCTCCCTATAATCAAGTTATTGAGGTCAAGGCAGCAGACTTACAAGGACAGGAAGTGGAGGGCTCCGTCACCTTCCCAGTCTCCAGGCTCTGCCCAGCACACCAGAACCCACGGGAACTGGGCAAAACGTGTGGGTGGGGTTGCTGGCCTGTTCTCTGCAGTCTGACCTTGCTGCCTGTGTGTTGCCCGGGATCCGGGTTCTAACTTGTTCTGGATGTGGCATGCCTTTTTCCACTGTGCGTGCCATGCCACCACAATGTGTCCATGTCCCACCGTGTGTCCATGTTGCTACCCCATGTCCATTTTGCTCCCAGCTAGATGCAGTCCCCATCCCCAGTGGCTTCCCAGACCCCTTTCACAGCCCCCACACCCTAACCCCAGACTCCAGCAGACCAGAATCACAGACCCGGGAGCTCCCAGGTCCAGCCTTGGCCCAGCCCTGACCGGCCAAAGGTGGCTCTGTGGCAGGTCCCAGGGTGCGTCATGAAGATGCTGCCTCCCTTCAGGGAGCCCCAAGCTCCTTCAGACTCTGGGCTCGAGACCAAAGGCTGCTACTCAGCCCACACTCACACCCTTTCCCACCCTGCCCCACACCCCTGTCCACAGACCCAAGAGGACAGTGGCTCCGAGGGCAGCACAGCAGACATGACCAACACCGCTGAGCTCCTGGAGCAGATCCCTGACCTGGGCCAGGATGTCAAGGATCCAGAGGACTGCTTCACCGAAGGTAACGGCCCGGGCAACCCTCTGCCCCAGTCTCAGTTCCACCCAGAGGGGACAGGAGGACCAGCAGCTCTTCGGAGCCCAGGGCCACGTGGCACCAACACCCTGCCTTAGATATCTGCCTACCTCCTCCATTCCTCTGCTACCCTGGGGGTTCCTCCATCTGCCTGACGTGTCTGCCTACGGAGTGCTGGGCTGGACAGCTGCACCAAGGACTGGAAACACTGTGTTTGTGGTGTGTTAGCATCACTGTGTGCCCCACAGCAGCAGGGTCTGGGTCTAATTCGCTCCTGTACCACCAGGCCCTGGCACAGTGCCTGACACATAGTAGGCCCTCTGTAAATCCTTGAGGCAGGTATGACACATGTGGCCATGCTGACTGGCATCTATAGTTTTTATGGATTGGTGGTATATTTGGAGGGTAACTGGGGATAAAATGAGAGCTTGGCTGGGCGTGGTGGCTCACGCTGGTAATCCCCACTATGGGAGGCCAAGGCGGATGGATGACCAGAGGTCAGGAGTTCAAAACCAGCCTGGCCAACATGGTGAAACCCCGTCTCTACTAAAAAAACAAAAAATTAGTTGGGCGTGGTGGCGGGCACCTGCAATTCCAGCTACTCGGGAGGCTGAGGCAGGAGAATCGCTTGAACCCAGGAGACAGAGGTTGCAGTGAGCCAAAATTGTACCATTGCACTCCAGCCTGGGCAACAAGAGTGAAACATCTCAAAAAAAGAGAGAGAGAGAGAAAAAAATGAGAGCTTGCCCTCCATGTGACACATCCATGGGGGGCTCTCATTTAGGGGTCTTCCCTTCCCAAGGCTCAGAAACTACAAACATGGAGAAGGCCCAGGGAATGCCCAGGAGTTCCTATCATTTCCCCAGGGGGACAGTTTTCCAGATGAGCAGCAGACAAGCTGGAACCTATCCCAGCCCAGCCTTGTCCCTGCCCAGGCCTGCCAGGCTATTCACCCACTCACTGGGTGCTCAGTCCATCCATCCTCCTCACAGGGTGTCTGCAGAGTGTGCAGCCCCCATGGGTGGTGCCCACGGCCCTCGCTCACACGGCCCTGCTCACCATATTGCCCTGTTCGCCACCCCCACCATCATAGCTCTTTCTGTCAGTCATCTCTTCAACCATTCAACCTTCTGCCATTAGACGTGGGCATTCACAGGTCCTGAGCTGGGCCTGACCCTCACCCTCTCCCATAGGCTGTGTCCGGCGCTGTCCCTGCTGTGCGGTGGACACCTCGCAGGCCCCAGGGAAGGTCTGGTGGCGGTTGCGCAAGACCTGCTACCACATCGTGGAGCACAGCTGGTTCGAGACATTCATCATCTTCATGATCCTGCTCAGCAGTGGAGCGCTGGTACCCTCCTGGGGATGCAGGGCTGGGGCAGGGACGGCTGGAGGAGGAGGGGAGGGCAGGGAAAGGAGGTCTCCAGCTGGAAAGTCAGATCAGAAACTGGGGCAGAGCCTCTGCTGAAAATGTGCTCCCCAGCCCCCGAGAGCAGGGAACAGCTCACAAACTCTCAACACCCACGGCACATATGGAGGCCAGAGCAGGAAGGGCTTGCAGAGGGCATGTGTCCAGGCCTTCGTCTTTGTTCCACAAAAGGGAAATGATTTGCCCCAGATCACCAGCCTCCTACACCAGAGCTCTGGTGACACACCCACCTGCACACAGCATCAGTGTTCGGTCAAGCTGTCACAGTGCAGTTAACCACGCTGGCTCATAGTACAGTGCTGGCTCCACTGAGTCCATGTCTTCAGGCTGGAGGCTGCGCCCTGTAGTTCACACATGGTGACGTTTAATCTCCATGACAACTCTTTGTAGAAACATTAAGTAACTTGCTCAAGGTCCCACCACTCAGGAACCACAGATCTGGTATTTGAACCCAAGCAGTCAGATTCCAGAGTCCTTTGTCTTGACCTCTCATTTGTTCGGTCAGTCTTCTAAGCTCTCTTTGTATCTAGTTCTGTATATTCAGCCATGTGGGAGCCACAGGAGGAGGCCTCAGCCCTGGCCTCAGAAACACCCAATCAGGGTGATGGGAGGTCAGAGAAGGTGGAGCAATCAGGGTAGTCTCCCTGGAGGGAGCAGATAGAGCTGGACTGTGGAGAGCAGGGAGGTGTTGAAGCCAGGAGGAGCAGTGAGGCCCTCCAGGGTTGCCCCATCTGGCTCCCAAGCATGACGCTCTAATCTCTCAGAGCATTTCCAGGAAGAGATGGAAGAGCCCTGAAGGGGGTTCTGAAAGATGCTGGTGAAGCAGGGAGAGGGGTGATTAAGAAGGCAGAAGACGGCCAGGCGCGGTAGCTCACACCTGTAATCCCAGCACTTTGGGAGGCCGAGGGATCACCTGAGGTCAGGAGTTCGAGACCAGCCTGGCCAACATGGCAAAACCCCATCTCTACTAAAAATACAACAATTAGCCAAGTGTGGTGGCGGGTGCCTGTAATCCCAGTTACTGGGGAGACTGAGGCATGAGAATCACTTGAACTCAGGAGGCAGAGGTTGCAGTGAGCCGAGGTCATGCCACTGTACTCCAGTCTGGGGGACACAGTGAGACTCAGTCTAAAAAAAATAAAAGAGAGACATGGAAACTTTGCTGGACCAGGGGAAGTAAGAGCCTGTGGAAACTTTGCTGGACCAGGGAAAGCCTGTATTGCTGGGGAGGTGAGAACCCCATAGATGAGCAACTAACAGAATGCTTTAGACCACAGAGTGAGAGAAAGGGCACTTTGATCCAAAGCTATGTGCCTCCATTCCATGCTGCCTCCTCCTGTGGGGTTAGGCCATGGGGAGGCACTGTGGCTGTCACTTGGAAACCTCTGGGCCTCCCACCCGACCCCGTGCTGCCCCGCCCCTGTTCCAGAATGGGCCTGGAGCCATGACTTGCAGCCTGCCTGGTGTTTTACCATTGGCAGCTAGAGCCAAATCTCTGTAGGCTTCAGAGAAAGATGGTTTGACAATATGTTAACGAGTTTTGTTTTTAAACAGCCACAAACAAGGGCAGCCAGAGCCATTTCGTCTGGGCTGTGGAGGGAAAGCTCAGCTTGGCATAAGTGAGGAGGAGTTTTGGCAAGCATCTGGTGAATCTAATCAGGGTAGACAGCCAAGCTCTGTTGTTAAAAAACCACGTCAATGATATATTGAGAAAAAGAGAAATCTGAGTGTGTTATTTAAAGTTGTAAACTTGTTTAACAGAAAGCAAACTATATCCTTTCCAAATTGCTGAGGGATTTTTTTTTAAAGGAAAAACAGAGATCTCACAGCAAAAGATGGAGGAAAAAAGATGCAACAAGAAAACATAAAATCAGAAAACAAAATAGTATAATAGAGGCAAGATCAAACATGTGTTTTAATAATAAATGTAACTGGATAAAATTCGTCTTTTAAAAGGAAAGGACCCAGAATGGATCAAAAAAAATCTTCAGCCATGTGCTCTCAAATGACAAACCTAAAACAATGTGACTCAGAAATATTAAAAGTCACCAGGCATGGTGGCTCACGCCTGTAATTTCAGCACTTTGGGAGGCTAAGGCAGGAGGGTGACCTGAGCCCAGGAGTTCAAGACTAGCCTGAGCAACATAGTAAGACCCCACCTCTACAAAAAGATTTTTAAAAATTAGCCGGGCATGGTGGCATATGCCTGTGGTCCCAGCTACTCAGGAGGCTGAGGGGAGAGGATCGCTTGAGCCTGAGAGGTCAAGGCTGCAGTGAGCCCTGTTCACACCAATGCCTTCCAGCCTGGGTGACTGAGCAAGACCTTGTCTAAAATATATATATATACACATACACACAAATATATATATATAACATGTTATATATATAGTGAACTAATAAAGTAGATCAGGCAAATGCAAATAATGACAACAAATTCAGGGTGCTTTTTGTTTACTGAATTCAAGGTTAAAAGCTTGAGATGAGACACAGAGCATCCAACCTATAATGAAAATATAACTATTGGCTGGGTGCAGTGGCTTATGCCTGTAATCCTAACACTTTGGGAGGCTGAGACAGGAGGACCACTTGAGGCCAGGAATTCAAGACCAGCCTAGGCAACATAGTGAGACCCCCATCTCTACAAAAAAGAAAAATTAGCCAGGCATGATGGCACATGTCTGCAGTCCCAGTTTCTCAGGAGACTGAGGTGGGAGGATTGATTGAGCCCAGGAGGTGAAAGCTGTAGTGAGCCATGAACATGCCACTGCATTCCAACCTGGGTGACAGAGCAAAACCCTGTCTCAAAAAAAGAAAAAAAAATGTGTGTGTATGTGTGTGTGTATAAAATACATACATATTTACACACATAAATATATAAATATCTATAAAAGAATATGGATTTATACAAAATATATATAGATTATACAAAATATATAAATATATGTAGAAATATATAAATATATAAAATATATTTGTGTATTAAATATGTAACTATAATCTATATAAATACGTTCATATAATATATGAATATATCTTTATAAAAATATATATTTATATAATTATACATATAATTATATATACATTATTTATATTATTATATACAATTATATAAATCTATATAAATATAAGTATATATTATAATATATAATCATATATACCTATATAAGTTCATATATAATTATATGTATAGCTATTATGTATACATTTGCCTGGGATTTCATAGCACTTCAATATACAAAACCAAAACCACTGGAGAAAAAAACAGGAAAAAGTGACAACAGTGCACTAGTACTGGGAAACACTGCCATATTTCTATTAGTTCTCGACATTCCAGTGGAAAGAACAAGACAATCAGAGATCTAAATACATATATATTTATATATAATAAATTTGACCTAACATCATAATAATGAAGACAATAGCTAACTCTTAAATAGCACTCGCTATATTCCAGATACTGTTTTAAGCATTTTATAAGCATTAATTCATTTAATTCTCACAATAACCCTATAAGATAGGTACTATTATTAATCCTATTTTACAGATATGGAAAGTACTAGAAATGGAAAAAATAGGAGGATAAAAACAAACACCTGACCAGGCCTGGTGGCTCATGCCTGTAATCCCATCACGAGGTCAGGAGATCTAGACCGTCCTGGCTAACACGGTGAAACCCCCGTCTCTACTAAAAATCAAAAAATTGCCGGGCTCGGGGGCGCGCCTGTAGCCCAGCTGCTCGGGAGGCTGAGGCAGGAGAAGTGGCGTGAACCCGGGAGGCGGAGCTTGGAGGCTGAGGCAGGAGAATGGCGTGAACCCGGGGAGGCGGAGCTTGCAGGGAGCCGAGACTGCGCTACTGCACTCCACCAGTGCACTCCACTTGGGCGACAGAGCGAGACTCCGTCCCCACCCGCCAAAAAAAAAAAAAAAAAAAGCAGCTAAAATGTAAACCTTGGATCAAACAGAAAATAGTTTGGTGGTAGTTTAAGGGAGTTCAATTGATTGATTAACTAATTAACAAAAGAAGGCCATTCATGCACCAAAGGTGATAGTGTGCTGGAAATCAAAGATTGAGATTCCATTAATTCTGTCCACGTGAGATCTGGAAAAATAAGAAAAGTGTAGAGGTAGAGAAAAAGCTGGGACTGGTAGAAAAAAACTAGAAAATAACAGTATTGAGAATACTGCATGTAGAATACAGCCAAAGTTGTAATAAAAGGAAAATTCATTACTTAAATATTTTTATTATTAAATAGAAAGAACATAAATTATTTAACTCAAGAAATTAAAAATATAACAAAATAATCTTAAAGAAACCTAGGCAAGTAATTAATAAAATAAAAACATGTTTTCTTTGCCCCATATGATCTGCAGTAATAAAAACATATATTAATGAATTAGAAAATAAATAGTAAAATTGACATGAAATTCCAAAGCTGATTCCTTGAAAATGTAAAGCAACCAAATTGATAACCACTAGCTCATCGAATTTCTCACATCTCCAAAAACAGATTCTTTCACATTCTCAAGGAAGAAAATAATTCCAATGCTATTTAAAATACTCTAGTGCATGAAAAAAGAAAGTCTAGAAATTGTTTTTTGTGTGTGTTTGTGTGTTTGTTTTTGAGATGGAGTTTTGCTCTTGTTGTTGCCCAGGCTGGAGTACAGTGGCATGATCTCAGCTCAACGCAACTTCTGCCTCCCGGGTTCAAGCCATTCGCCTGCCTCAGCCTCCTGAGTAGCTGGGATTACAGACGTGCGCCACCACGCCTGGCTAATTTTGCGTTTTTAGTAGAAATGGGGTTTCTCCATGTTTGTCAGGCTGTTTTCGAACTCCCGACCTCAGGTGATCCGCCCACCTCGGCCTCCCAAAGCGCTGGGATTACAGATGTGAGCCACCGCGCTCGGCCTAGAAATTGTTTTTTTAAAAGCTAAATAATGCTGATTTTTAAAACCTCACATATACCAAAAGAAAAACCTAGGCCAGTTTTCATGCTTCATACTCCGTACTTCTGATTAGTGATGCAAAAATCTTAAACAAAATACATGCAGATACGATCTAGAAATATATTTAAAAGATTAGGCTGGGCGCGGTGGCTCACGCCTGTAATCCCAGCACTTTGGGAGGCTGAGGCGGGCAGATCACAAGGTCAGGAGATCGAGACCACGGTGAAACCCCGTCTCTACTAAAAATACAAAAAATTAACCGGGCGTGGTGGTGGGCGCCTGTAGTCCCATCTACTCAGGAGGCTGAGGCAGGATAATGGCATAAACCCGGGAGGCAGAGCTTGCAGTGAGCCGAGATGGCGCCACTGCACTCCAGCCTGGGCCACAGAGAGAGACTCCCTCTCAAAAAAAAAAAAGACTGAGTACATCATATGACAAATGTATCATATCCTAAAATGTGAAAATAGTACCATATTAGGAAAACTATATTAATAGGACAAAGATGAAAAGCCATATAATTATTTCAATGAATGCTTGATTTTCAAAACTCTGGTAAGAATAGAAATAAAATATATTTTATTCTACTGAATCCAAAGAACAAAAAAAAAGAAATAAAATGTGTTTTCTCAATTTAGTAAAAAACTGACTCTGAAATTAACTTATATCATAATTAGTAGTAAAACCACTTGAAATGTTTTCATTAAAGTGAAGAATAAGAAAAGGATGATTTAACTACCTTTTTAGCTATTGCTCATTATTTCATAATAGTATTGAATTATAGCCAGTGTAATTAATTAAGAAAATTGAACACATGATATAAAAGTTGGGTAATAAAATAATTGAAGTTAATCCAGTCAAGTATAAAAGCAAGAGTTAAAAATGATAGAAATATATCATTATTTATAGATAATATGATTGCCTAGAAAAGAATTTAAACCTATTTTAAAAACATTATATAGCCAGTTATGAAATAAATATGCAAAGAATTGTTGCTATTGTTGTTGTTTTATCCTAAGAGAAACCATTTAGTCACAAGTAACATCTCTCAAATATTTCTTACATGCCAAGCACTGCAAGCATAAAATAACTGGGAATAAATATAATAATAAATGTATAAGAGATGCATAAAGAAAACTGTAAAACTTTGCCAAGCAGTGTAAAACAGAACAAATAGATAAACATACCTTCATCTTGGGGAGGAAGACTTCATATTAGTTCCTAAAGTAATTAGTAGATTCAATGCAATAACAAGTTTGCAACATTTCTGAGGAAATCTGACAAAACATTGGTAAAGTTTATCCTGAAAATCATTTAAATGTCCAGGGAAATTCATGTGATACTAATTCAGGAATAGACAGAGAACAGTAGAACCACATAAAGAGATCTGAAGTAGATTTAAGTAAATAGAGAAATGTACTATATGATAAAGTTGACTTTTAATCAGTGGATTTTAAGTGGATTATTTAATAAAGTGTTGGGGCATTTGATGAGCCACATTCTGAAAAAAAGTATTAAATGGATATTTACTCCCTAGCAAACTATATTTAATGTTTTTAATTATAATGTAAAACAATGAAACCACAAAAATTGTTTTCAGAAGCTCAGTTTTTCCTAGCCTCGGAATAGGGCTTTCTAAATGCAGCACCAAAAATTTTACTAAATGAAAATTATAATAAATGATATGATAATATTAAACAATATAATAATTGAAAATGAAGTACCTAGAACTTCAGTATGGTAAACAAAAGCAAGTGAGATTTACAGGCAGGTTGGTGCCACAACCCAGGCTTGTGTTACCAAACAAAGAGTTAATGTTCCCAAATAAACCAGACACCCAAGTACAAAATAGGCAAAGGATATGAAGAGGTAATTCCCCCAAAAAACACAGCAAATATCCAAAGAAAAGATGTCAGCATCACTCCTAATAAAATAAATGAAAATGTAACGAAATACAAGTTTCTTTCATGAGGCTGGGAAAAGTGAAAAAGGAGAAGTGACAGCAATGTCGGTGGGGCGGTGGAGAACAGCCCCCTTCCTGGCCCAGAGATGGAGTGTCAATTGGTGTTGCCTTCAGAGAGGTCCATTCCCAGACTGTACCAAAAGCGCACCTTTCGCCTGGCAACCCAATTTATCCTCAACAATCCCCTGTCCATGCAACTTTATTTCTACTAGAGATAAACTGTAAATAACCGAAATGTGCGTTATTAATAAGGTTATTGGCTAAATAAATAGCAGTGTATGCAAATAATGAAACATGCAGCCCTTTAAAATAGTGATAGATATTATTGTATGTATTCATATTATTGAGTGGATAAATGTTCACAACATATTGTTTGATGGAGAAAGTAATTTCAAGGCAAATATTTAGTGTGTCTCATAAAATTGTGGTGATTGTGTGTGCACACACGTACACACTGTCAAAAATAATACTCACCTAAATGTTAGCAGTGGTTACTTTGGTGTCATGAAATTAGAGATGCCTTTTACTTTCTTTTTTATCATTTCCATATTATTTAATTTTTATAAGATGCACCCATTTTTATACTCACACAAAAAAAATCTTGAACAACTCCCAAAATCCATTTTGGGAGCTGAATTATCCTGTTGTGCCGTCTACAGTGACCCAGTGAGCCATATGTTTGCCTTGGCAGTGCCAACAGCACTGGTCTCTTGGGTCACTGTCGCTCACAGAGGCCCTGAAGTCGGATAGGGAGGCCCAGGAGTGGGAGGTGGAGGCAGCTCCCCCAGAGCCCTAGTGACGCGTTCAGTTGCCTAGACAGGAACCTCAGAGCACACTCTGGACAGAGATAGAAACAGGAACAAATCAGTAGGCTGGAGGTAGAAGCCATCTGGGAGCCACTAGAATTTCTCTGTCAGCTCAGGAATTTGAGTTGAGGCAGAAATGAGGAAGTGGAGAAAGACTTACAACTCCTAGGATTTTGGAAACTGACTCTTAGAACCTGAGAACTGCAGATTTGACTTTATCTACACCTGTGGTTCCTAAACATCATATCTACAAATGACTTTTACTCTAATTTCTTTAAAATTCAGCTTTACATCAACTCTCATTGGTTTTTGCTTACTTAAATAAATGTTTTGTAAAGTGAAACTTAATCATTATTATTAATTGGAAACCAATATTTTTCCCACGAAAAGTAAGTAACCGTATAAACAAAGTTAAAGCAAAATGGAGTGAAAACAAAAAATATTTTATGTTGTTTCCAGCAGAAAGCTGTGAGCTGAGCCTGCATACCCTCTCTCCTTGTTAAAATGGCAAGTTTTAGAAAGGCCTAGCCCAAAACTCAGACTTGATCTTTATTGCGCAGGGAAAGGGGATCACACCATTCATTCGCCTTACTATCCATCTACCATGTAAGGCCATCTGATGGCCTGCCAGTGGCACAGGCCCCGCTTGGAGGGCATTCTCATCTAGTCCAACACTGCCCAGGAGGAACCCTGTCCACAGCATTCCTCACCCCTTCCCTGCTCTCCTGGGCAGCAGGAGGTATTGTCAGAAACAGTGCCTAGGCCAGGTGCGGTGGCTCACGCCTATAAACCCAACACTTTGGGAGGCCAAGGTGGGTGGATCACGAGGTCAGGAGCTCAAGACCAGCCTGACCAACATGGTGAAACCCCTTCCCTACTAAAAATACAAAAAATTAGCTGGGTGTGGTGGTGGGCATCTGTAATCCCAGCTACTCAGGAGACTGAAGCAGGAGAATTGCTTGAACCCGGGAGGCAGAGGTTGCAGTAAGCCAAGATTGCACCACTGCACTCCAGCCTGGGCAAAAGAGCAAGACTCCGTCTCAAAAAAAAAAAAGAAAAAAGAAACGAAACGAAATGGTGTCTGGTGCAGGGTGGAATCGGCAGTGGTCCAGACTTCATGTCTGCCTTATCCGGCCTTGTCTGCAGGCCTTCGAGGACATCTACCTGGAGGAGCGGAAGACCATCAAGGTTCTGCTTGAGTATGCCGACAAGATGTTCACCTATGTCTTCGTGCTGGAGATGCTGCTTAAGTGGGTGGCCTACGGCTTCAAGAAGTACTTCACCAATGCCTGGTGCTGGCTCGACTTCCTAATCGTGGATGTGAGTGTGGGCACCCAAAGGGAACAGGAAGGGGAACCCCATTGCCGGTGTGGGAGAAGGAGGTGAGGCAGAGGGCCCGGTGGGAGCCAGCAGGCTGAAGGGGAGGCACGAGGCTGTGCTGCAGCACAGACAGAGAGGAAGGAGGATGTGAGTCTGAGACTCAGGCCTTGTCCTCAGGTTCCCAGGCTCAGAGGAAGACAAGAAATAGGAGACAGGGTCCTGCCTCTAGAGCCCCCAATTTGGAGCCACAGCAGGCAGAGACCTAGGCCCCTGCTTCTACGGGAGATCGTTCGAGAGTAGTCAAGGTAGGGGTGTGAGCCAGGGCAGGGGCTGAGGGCTCAGGGTCCAGAAAGAGAAGTGAGCAGACAAGCTTGTGCTCTAGCACACACCACAGCAGACTGTAAGTGTCCATCGGACCCACTAGACAGATGGCCAGTTCAGAGCCTTCATGCACACACGAGGGGGACAGTTCAGAGCCTCCATGCACACATGCCAGGGGGAGAAGGCTGCTGAAGGGATGCTGGGCAGGCAGGGGAGAGCTTCCAGCTCAGGGGGAAGGTACTGGCTGGGGAGGATGAGAGAGGGGTGGAGTCACCCCAGAGGAGGAGGAAGCCATGAACACTGGCTCGGGGGCTCTGGGTTGCTGCCCTAGACGATCAGGTAGCTGTGAGGGCTGCCTGCCCAGGCTGTGTCCAAGGAGGGCCTGGGGCAGGAGGTCAGCGTGGCTTCTGAACACCTGGTTGGCAGATGGAGTGTGAAGCCCCTGCCCCACAGCTACCCAGGCCCCAAGACACTGCTGGGTGCCAGGCAGCATGAATGCAGGGTTACAGGGAAAGGAACCAAGCAGGGAGAAACAGGTCGGTGCAGGGCAGCTCTGGGTCTGCACTCACTGAGGACAAAGAAAGAGAAGGCAAAGGGTGCAGGCAGAGGGACCTCTCTGGGGATCAAACAAAACAGAATAGGGGGTCAGGATCTGCAGACTGAAAAGGGCTTTCCAGAAGGCTTTGTTGATGGCTTCCGGCCTTGACATCGGGCTCTGCACAACAGCAGGAGCTATCCTTCCTGTGTTTACAGGACAGGCTCAGGCCTGTGCGGTCTCCATACCCCACTCAGAGGCTCAGTTCCCAATAAGCCTGGCCAGAGTCCAGGTTGAGGCTACCAAGGCTGGATGGGAAGTCAAAGTGTGGGTGGCCGTGGTGGCAGAGGCACCTTGGGCTAGAGGGATGCGCAGAAATGCAGATCCAGGTCCTTGGACCTGCAGTTCAGGCCTCTTCCTATCACCCCAGGTGGCCAAGAGGATGCCGATGCTGGGGTGAGGGTGTGCTGTGGGTGGAAGAGGGGCGAGGAGAGCTCTAGACACACCGGGCTGCCTGGCCCAGCCCTCAGAGCCTCCCTGAGATGAAGGAGAGGCCCCTGAGGACTCCCTGTTGAGGGAACATGGGAGGGCCTGGGATCCTGGCCGCTCAGCCCTGAGGCTCCCTGACCCGCTGTTCCTGAAGCATCTTGGGCAGTTGGGTCTGCTGAGGGTCTCCCACAAGGCAGGCCAGAGGGAATCTGCACAGACATCTGCAGAAGCCCATCCACCAGCCACTGGCCACCTTGGGGAGCTCAGAGCCAAGGCAGGGGAAAGGGAACTGGCAGTGCTTCCCTGCTCAGGCCCAAGAGAGGAGAAGAAGCCTGTGGAGAAGGCAACCAAGACTCACAGCAGGGAGGGGCCTTGCCCAAGACTGAGCAGAAGGAAGTGGGTATGGAATGCAGCTTTCCTGACACTGGCCACACTGCTGTGCCTCTACCCCATCCACATGCTTCATGGGAAAGTTTGTCTCCCATGACAGAGTCTAGGGAAGGATATTCCCAAGAAGAATTCTGCATTATTTTTCAGTAAATGCTATTGGGTCTCTACTGTGTGCAAGCACGGTTATGGTGCTGGGGATCTTAGGGAACAAAACAAGAACGCTTCCCCACATGGAGGAAGGTGGCTGCAAACAATCAGCATAATCAACAAGCCACTTTTACATTATGTGGAAAAGTGGCATCTATCATGGAGCAAAGAGAACTCGGGAAGGGAAGTGGGTGGGGTGGAGGGGAAGGTGCAGGTTACCACGTTAAATAGGATGATCAGGGTAGGCCCACTTTGGTAACATTTGAGCGGGTTTGAAGTTGGGGTTAGCCAGGCCAGTGTCTGGCAGACGTTCCAAGCAGAGGTTGGAAGAGCAGTGCAAGGACGGTGTGTCGGGAGCACGCCTGGCATACTGGGGGAAATGCAGGGAGGCTAGAGCCACTAAGCAGAAGGAAGTGCAGGAGATGAGGCCAGATTGCAGGGAATGCAGCCAGATTGCCACCTTTGAAAAAATACGGGCTTTGATTTAGAATGAAATGGCGGTAGCGGGGCAGAATTAGAAGGCTCTGAACAGAAGAGTGCCGTGAACCGACTGATTTTCTTTAGGGCTCACTCAGTCATGGAGGCCAGGGTAGACAGGAATGAGTAGAAGCAGGGAGAAGAGTTAGGAGGCTCAGGCCATGATCCAGGGAGAGACAATGGAGGCTGGGCCAGGATGGTGGCAGTAGAAGTGGTGAGAAATATTTGGACTTCAGATGTATTTTGAAGGCAGAGCCAACAGGAAATCCTGACGGGTTAGACACAGGGTGTCAGAAATAGAGAGGAGGCAGGGAGGACGCCAAGGATCATGGCCTGCACAGCTGGAGGGATGGAGTTGCCGTCACCTGAGACGGGAGGCCATCACAGGGGCAGATGGGGCAAGCTTTGCAAAGAACAGACCGCAAGGCAGCCTGTTAGGAACTGGGCAGACGGACCAGCTGGACCTGGCACTCTGGAGGTCCTGCCCTCAAGGAGAGGTCCCTGAGAGATGCCCTCCGACTCTCCAGGATTGAGGGCCCATAGCCCAGTATCCTTGAGGGGTGAGTGCGGGCAACACCAAAATCAATCTGGCGTGTCTTCCTCCCCTCGGCCTCTTTGCTCAGCTCCCTCCGACCTGGTGCTGCCAAGCCTGGGAGGAGGCTGTGGGAGTCAGGCCCCTGCCCCTAGCCTCTCCGAACCCCAGGCTGGCCTGAGCGCCAGGGCAGTGTGAATAGTGACTACAGGGGAGGTCAGGCAGGAGGCCATTTTTGGCCTGTAATCACAGGCCAGTGGTGAAGTAAGAAGGGAGTGGATACCCACGGAGCTTTAGAAGGACAAAATCCACAGAGTGGAAGTGCCCTGGGAGGGGTGGGCCAGAGGGAACAGAGAGCTGAGGCTCCTGGTGCCACCAAGTCCCCACCTTTGCTTTCCTCCATTGAAGATGTTGAAATGCTGCACAGTCTGGCCTTGGGGAAATGCCCCGCAATTGTCTATTTGCTCCTACTCAACCCAGGACTGTCTCTCCTTCCTCAAAAAAGGCTTCTTTGGCGAAGAAGGAGATAGGTCCAAGAACTGGAATTGAAGGAAAGAATGTGGAGACCAAAAGCCTAGGCTTTGTGTCCCTGCTCCGCCACACCAGCGAAGTGGCTTTGGAATTCAGTTTTCCCATCTGTAGAACAGAGGTGACACATCGCAACATCTCAGGGTTAGTGGGGTTATTACGGAGTATGTATGTGAAGTGCACATAGCAGCCTCTCAGTAAAGGCCCAGAAGCCAGGACACTCTTGGGCTCGCCCCAGCTTGGGCTCTGGGAAGCCTGGCCCAGTGCAGAGCTGGCCTGTGATGACAGTCCACCCCAGGACTAATAAAGAGTGGACATGGGAGGCCTGTGGCTCTCTGGCACCCAGCGCCATCTTAGCAGGGCCAGGAGCCCTACTGTCTGTCCCCAACAGTGGGGAGCTGTTCCCATCCTCCCCATTTCTACTTTGCCTCCCCCAGGTCTCTCTGGTCAGCCTGGTGGCCAACACCCTGGGCTTTGCCGAGATGGGCCCCATCAAGTCACTGCGGACGCTGCGTGCACTCCGCCCCCTGAGAGCTCTGTCACGATTTGAGGGCATGAGGGTAAGAGAGGCAGCTGCCTTCCCACCAGGGAGTGGGAGGCAGTCCCACGGAGGGACCCCCAGCCTCAGCTTGCTGACCCGCAGGCCCAGCGCACTGCTACCCAGGGCCCCTCCCTGTGTTTCTGATGTCCTGTGGCCATGGAGACTGTGGCTGAGGCTGACTTGGTAGGAGCATGGCCCAGAACCTCCAAGAGAGGCACAGCTGGACATGGAGGCACCCTGAGGGTAGGCAGCTGTGAGAACCCACCTCCAGGGCTCACCCTCCAGCCCTGTGAGCTCCTGTGAGGGCTGGGAAAGCGCTGGACAAAGGAGAGGAAGCAAGATTTGCTGGGCACAGGGATCTCAGCTGTACCCCAGGCCACTGGCACCAGGGCCCCTGTGCTTCTGCTGTCCCGTGGGGCTGCATCTCTGTGTGCCCACTCGGTGTGCCCCTCTGCATGCCCTGCCTCCTGGCAGACACAGGCTGCCAGCCCTCTGTGATGGGCAGTGGGGCTGTGGTCGGGAGGGTGAGGGAAGAGGCATAGAGCAAGCTGCATTCCCAGCATCAGACAGAGGCTGTACAGGAAATGACCACATGCTTAGTGATCTCCTGTGCACCATTTTCCTAGTGCAGATCCCTAAGCATTTTTCAAGTCACCACATTTTACCGAAGAATAAGAGCAGATAAGTCAGATTTGAAAGCCCACCAAGAAAAACATCAGCCGTGATATATAGCAAGAAAACAAATACACATGTGTGTGTTTGTGTGTACTTGTGTGGGGTATTTTTTTTTTAACAAAACATACACAGTTCTGTGTGGCTTCAGAAGACATGTTTGTTTGTCTCTCACTGACCCAGCAGGCACCACACACAGCTCAGGTTGATGGCTTTGAACCTTGCCCACGCCCCCAATCCATGGAGACACACAGAGCTCATTCCTGGTGGGAAACCATCCACAAGATATTATTCAGAGTTAAATAGCTCTTTGGGAGCAAGGACATTTGATTCCAGAGGGACGCAAGGAGACACTAGGTGCCAGGGATGCCTCTGCAGTGGCCGTTGGCCACAGAGCCAGCCAAGGGCAAACTCCCAGGGCTTCCCCGCCTCACTCTACACCCAGATGTTCGGTGCCCTAAGAGCTTGTTTCCCACCCTGTTCCAGGGTTCAGTGTGCCTTCTGGGGAACAGCATCCCCCAACCTGGCATCTGGGCCACACCACACGGTCCACACCAGCTTCACCTCCAGTCTGTGTGGCGCTCGTGTTCCTGGTGCATGGACAGCTGGGGACTTGGTCCATGAGTGGGGTGGAGGGTCCCAAATGGCTCTACTAGGGAATCTTCTACAGGGTGCTCTGAGTTTAGATGCAGAACATGAGGCTGTGGCTCCATGGGATCTGAGAGCCCCTCACTGGGGAGCGGGTATCACAGGGAGTGCCCATGCCACCTGCTCTCTGGCTCTGCTCTTATGGGAGCACTGGAGAACTGCCACAACACCCTCTAGACACTGCACTGAGGTCCCCTGGGTTACTTCAGGGGAGAACACCCATCCATCCCAATAGCAACAACCTAAAATAAACCGGAATTTAGCTCCAAAAATGTAAGGACTCTTGGGATTGTTAGGAAACCCAGTCTTGGGGACATGTTTTGAGAGGTCTTTCCCATCAAGTTGCTGGCATCCTCAACCAGCACACACCGTGGTGAAAATCAGGTTTTAAAGATCACAGAATCAGGGCAGGGCCAAGAAGGGAAAGCAGATGTTCTGAAGCCACACCAGACTCTAGTGTGCACTCCCCTCACTCCCCACCAGGGCTTCCAGCCATGGAGCTGGCCTCTCCCATGAGTGTGGGATCTGCACACCCACCTGCACAGCCCCCTGCAGCCAGGGAGTTCATTCTTCCGTGGGGGAGGGTCTTGAAAAGGGCATGCGCTTTGGGCCCCCCCAGGAACTGAGCCACTTCTCTGTCCACTTGAGGTGGTGGTCAATGCCCTGGTGGGCGCCATCCCGTCCATCATGAACGTCCTCCTCGTCTGCCTCATCTTCTGGCTCATCTTCAGCATCATGGGCGTGAACCTCTTCGCGGGGAAGTTTGGGAGGTGCATCAACCAGACAGAGGGAGACTTGCCTTTGAACTACACCATTGTGAACAACAAGAGCCAGTGTGAGTCCCTGAACATGACCGGAGAATTATACTGGACCAAGGTGAAAGTCAACTTTGACAACGTGGGGGCCGGGTACCTGGCCCTTCTGCAGGTGGTAAGTCCTGGAGAGAAGGGACTTCCTTCCTCCCAATAGCTGTCAAGCAGCATGGCCATCACCCATGATGTGGGCAGGAGTGGGGCAGTGGGGCCATGCTGGATCTTCACAGGAGGATCATAGTGCCCAAAGGAGACTCAGGACTCTCCAGGGATTTGGCTCCTTGGGAAATCCCCAGACTTTCAGTTCTAGAACCAATACCACATTCTCCAAATTGCAGAGTATAGGGATGGCTCCGTGGTGCTATAGAACCAACTCCCCAGCCAGTAGTCAAGTTGACCTCTTCAGGCTATCAGTTAGGCAGTGTGATGGCACAGGTTAAAAAATGAAAGACCATAGACTACTCAGGAACTGAACTGTTAGCAAAGTTGTGACTGTGGCCACCCTCTGTTATAAAAGATAGTGTTAGCTCTTGTGTTATTTAAAAGAACATATTTCCATCTTTGATGTGCAATGTTTAAGCACACACAGTCCTTCTAGGGTTTTCATTGATTTTGTGAGTACGATGGCTTCCGTGATTATAGCACATTCCATAAAATTAACCTACCATTAGCCTTGACTAATGCAGCAGAACCACAGTGCAAAAAGCTACAACTTGCTTGTCTTGCTATTCCAATCTTAAGCCCAGACACCTGTCTCTGGTTCCCAAAGCAGAGGAAAACTCAGCAGACTCTTACCTGGAAACTTGAGGCATCCACTCACACCTCCACCTATCCCTTAAGCCCCAGTGGTAGTCCCACAAAGACTCACCTGCACTGCCTACTGGAGAACGGTAGATTAGTGCCAAACCCAAGGATCTGTCTGTTCCTGCAACTGTCCCTCAGAATGTTGGAACTTTGGAATAAAAGGCCTCGTTTTGTAGACTAAGAACTGCTCACCTTTCCAGGCACAGCCGCTTGGTGTTTGGGAAGAATTCAGTCATAAGTATCTCATACCCTTGGGTGGTCCCCAGCAGTTTCCAAAGTATTTCCGGGCCTATCTTTATAGGCAAGGGCCTGTTGGTACAGGGAGCTGGAGTAGCTTGCCTAATATGGGCGACCTCAGCTTCCCCTTCTGCCTTACCTGCCTCATAAGAATTCTTAGACACAGGAAGTTTGTGTTATTGAGCTTGTGCTTAGAAAGGAGGCTTGGGGACTGGCCACGGTGGCTCACACTTGTAATCCCAGCACATTGGGAGTCTGAGGTTGGTGGATCATTTGAGGTCAGGAGTTCGAGACCAGCCTGGCCAACATGGTGAAACCCCCGTCTCTACTAAAAACACAAAAATTAGCTGGGCATGGTGGTATATGCCTGTAATCCCAGCTACTCAGGAGGCTGAGGCAGGAGAATCACTTGAACCCGGGAGGCAGAGGTTGTAGTGAGCTGAGATCACACCATTGTACTCCAGCCTGTTTGACAGAGTGAGACTCTGTCTCAAAAAAAAAAAAAGAGGCTTGGGGCAGGACAGGACTGGATTTGGCCAAAAACACAAATGAGACTTCACTGGGGAGTCAGTCTCACCACCAAGCATGTCTCTTGGGCTCTTTCTGCATAGCAGCCCAGACTAGGGCTGGTGCCACCAGCACCAGGGCCCTCTCTGGTTCATCCCCCCTCTTTGCTCCCTTGGTGTAGTGTGCTGGAGCCAGCTTGTGCCAGCTCACAAGAGCTCATCATTACATTTTCAGAAATTTTGCAAGCTGTTTATTAAACATAGCCATTAAAAAAAATTAATTCTATAAACTTACAAAATTAACTAAATGATATTAAAGCAAAGGTAATAAACACTCAAGATTCATCATTACTTTTTAGTGTTATCATCTATGCTTTTGAGGTTTTTTACATCTAGTTTGTCTGTATAGTGGGAGTACCATAATGCTAAGCTCCTATGCATCTCTTCTCAACTCCATTGAGTAACTTCACACTGGTAACCTGAAATCAACCATGGTGGGAATATTTACACAAGAGAAATTGGCAAACCAACAATCAGAGTTTTTTTCTTTTCTTCTGGGAAGTCAGCTGTTAACTGTTTACCAACGCACCGTTGACAAAAGAACCCCCTTAAGTACAAGGGAAGGTTGAGATTCTTCCGGAACTTCCCTTGAAAGTCCATGGAGCAGAAGCCACATGGTTCTCTGAGACATAGGACAAGAGGGACCAGGTCAGCTCTGGAGTCTAGAACACAGAGTCTAAGCTCCACCTCTGTCTCCCTGACAGAATCGCTGGCAGGATTCTGTGATGTTTTAGAAATGGAAATGAGTGTGGATCTGAAGGACAGACCTCCTGCAAGCCCCCTCAGACTCTTGGCCTCAATCAAGAAGCTTATTCCCTGCTGCATGGCCTTCTTGGGGCATCTGCTCAGTTGCTTCCCCTCCACCCCTAGCCCTAAACAAGGTCTTTCTCTGACCACCCAGGCATTTGGATGCTGCTGAAGGGGTGAGGTGGGGTGGCTTGCTTTTCATAAGAAGCTTGCTTCTGGCTTCATCCGTCCAGACCAGAGCCCTAAGTAACTCAAGCGAGGTGCAGAATTAAATGATTGTCCTAATCTTGTCTTTTCCTCCCAGGCAACATTTAAAGGCTGGATGGACATTATGTATGCAGCTGTGGACTCCAGGGGGGTAGGTTGCCACAGTGGCCCCTTCCACCAAGTCAGGCACCTGAGGCTTCTGGTTGCTTGGCCACCAGGGAATCAGCGTCTGCATCTGAAAGCCCAGCCCACAAGGGCAGGATCTCGTGTCACTCTGGAGTACAACCTCTCTGGAATGCCCAAGCCTGGCTCTGGGGCCAGGTTGCTTGGTCTCCTAAAAAGTCCCAAAATTCTCAAATGTCTTTAATTAAACTCACTGTAGTTTACTGACTTTTACCCCCAGGAGGATGGGGTGGAAGCAACAGAGATGCAAATCAAGCTTCTTCTTTGTCCAGCACCCCACCCGGTCACACTGACAGTTCAGTGAAGACTGAAAGAGGTCCCCATGTACTCCAGCCTCCCATTGGCCCAGGGCCAGAGCCAGCACTGATACTCTGCCAGCCCTGAGCCCAGCATGTCTGCTGTCCTCACCTGCCACCATCCACTCCTCTCACCTCTATCGCCACTCACCTCTGGCCCACAGACTCACATAACTGGGCTAGTGACCTTCCACTAGATACATCCTCTGTCCACAGAATGGATGCCCCTAGCCAGCCCTCCGCCTCCACCCCCCACCCCTCCCCATGTGACCCCCAAGACCCAGCCTGTCTGATCTCCCTGTGTGATTTCTCCCTCACAGTATGAAGAGCAGCCCCAGTGGGAATACAACCTCTACATGTACATCTATTTTGTCATTTTCATCATCTTCGGGTCTTTCTTCACCCTGAACCTCTTTATCGGTGTCATCATTGACAACTTCAACCAACAGAAGAAAAAGATACGTAGAGCACCAGCTCCCCGCTGGGCTGGGCAGAGCAGGGCTGGGTGCCAGGGGATTGAGGGGCCATTCAGGCTCCAGGCCCCATCTCACCTTCCCTGCTGGGGATGGTCCTCTTCTTGCTGCTGCTGGAATGAGGTGGGGAGAAGGGTGTGTCCAGGGATATAACATGTCTAGGCCTGTAAGAACATAAGAAGGGGCTTTGGTGGGAGGCCCCATGTCTGCCCTAATCCACCTGAGAGATGAAACTCCTGGGAGAAGCTGGTGTGAGAGCTGCATCTGTTCACCTGGTCCATGATCAGAGGTCATGGGTAAGGCCTGTGCAGAGGCCCTGGGTCTTCCCAGAGCTTCATCAGAGCGGCTATAACTGGGTTGTGACAAACCAAGTGAACAGAGAGAACCTGAAGGCTGGTTGAGCTGGGAGGGGGAGAGGGCGGGGGTGGATACTGGATTTGCAGGTCATAAAGCCAGAGAGATCTCAAGGTGAAAGGGGACAGGGCTCCTGGATAAGTAGATTTGGGGAAGAATCTGTGGTGCAAAATAGGGACATATTTTGTCCAGGAGAGGAAGCCAGGAGGTGGTTGACCCTGGCATCCTCATCAAGGAGGCAAGATCCTGGTGCCCTCCATGCTGGGGCCTCTGAGAACCCCAGAATGAGGTTGGTGCCTTCTCTCTGCACTTAGGGGGCCAGGACATCTTCATGACAGAGGAGCAGAAGAAGTACTACAATGCCATGAAGAAGCTGGGCTCCAAGAAGCCCCAGAAGCCCATCCCACGGCCCTTGGTGAGCTAAACTCCTGGTTCTGGGGGAGTGGGGAGGATCTTCTGGGGTCCCTGGGAAGCTTTCATGCCACACGGCCAGCCATCAGGGCCGCCTCACAGTCTTTCAGCCCAGCCTGAGGGACGCTATCAGATGTCTGAGCATGAAGAGAGGTCCCAGCCTCATACAGATAGGGAGGAAGGTATGAGAAGGATGTAGCATCCCGGGACACTCTCCTCCCACAGGAACCCTCTGTCTCTGAGCAGGTCTCCTCCTTCCCCTCAAGGATGCAGGCTTTCCTCGGGAAAAGCAGGGCAGCCTTCACAGCCCCACCCCACCCCACTCACAGCCTCATCCTTGGACCCCCAGAACAGTCAGGGAGCCGGATTCCTGAGTTAGCTGGTGGGGAGAGCCAAGAGCTCTGGAGAGTGGGGTCCTCTCAAAGACTGACTCCCTTGGCCCAATCAAGCCATTATCCAAAAAAATGTGTGTGTGTGTGTGTGTGTGTGTGTGTGTGTGTGTGTTTATAATCTTTTCTAAGTGGGAGAACAGAAAAAAAAATTTGGTGTGTATATATATATATATAATCTTATTTCTTTCCCCAAATAATCTGGGCTGATTTACAATTAAAGACACATGTAAATATGGTTAGTACAATAAATAAAATAAATTACATTAAAAAGTAGAGAAAATATATTAATCTAAGCACTGACATAATTACTAGGGTTGAAGTTGAAATTTACCCTTGAGCCTTCAGACTGTGGCAACTGAAAGGGAAGCACAGTGAACAGTATGCTAAGGATGCTCAGGGCAGGAAAAATCTCTCCCTGAAGATCCGTCATGGAAGTCCTCATGGAAGATGGAGCCTTGGAGCTGGGCCTTGAAGCCCAGGAAGCATTTCAGCAGGAGAGCCAATGGCTTTAACCTCCAGGAGTTTTTCCTCTGCACTCTCTGTGGCAGTGTGGCAGGGGTTTTGGGCTCACTAGAGGGTAGAGTGGGAGGGTGGGTGGCCTGGGATGAGAGGCAGAAACGGGCATTTGCCAGCCTCCCAAGGGCCCTGCTGAGCGCTTTCCATTTGCCTCTCCTTTCAGAACAAGTACCAGGGCTTCATATTCGACATTGTGACCAAGCAGGCCTTTGATGTCACCATCATGTTTCTGATCTGCTTGAATATGGTGACCATGATGGTGGAGACAGATGACCAAAGTCCTGAGAAAATCAACATCTTGGCCAAGATCAACCTGCTCTTTGTGGCCATCTTCACAGGCGAGTGTATTGTCAAGCTGGCTGCCCTGCGCCACTATTACTTCACCAACAGCTGGAATATCTTCGACTTCGTGGTTGTCATCCTCTCCATCGTGGGTGGGTATACAAGTCAGCTGGACAGAAGCCCTCCCCAGCCAGGCCTCTCGTCCGGCCCCTGAGTCTCTGCTGAATGCCACGTACAACCCTAGGTTCTTTCATTGTTTTTTCAGTGCATTTCTCACCCCCCTCCCCTCATACATACATGCACACACACACCTCTCCAGAGAGAATTTATCTGGAAGGGTCCACTTGGGTCAAGGAGACCAACCTGGCAGAGGACCCAGCACTCCCTCCTGGCCCCACCCTCCAGAGGACCTGGGAACACAGTTCTCTAACTGCTTAGATAGCTTCAAGGATGAGTCTGGGAATGGGAGTGGGTGCTGTGGAGGCTAGTTCTGCCCGCACTTAGGTTGAAGGAGAAGGAAGCTCACTAAGGATGAGGTGGGTCCCCAAGGATAGGGGGTAGGTGGCCCTCCAGAGTAGAAGTTATCCCTGAAGATGGAAAATTCTGGAGCTAACCGCCAAGGTGTATGCCAGACTCTTTCAGACATACCTGCCTCATGCAATTCACCCAGTCAATTCAGCACTAAAGGAGGGAGATTGTACAGCAAGGGAGAAGCAGAGACCCAATCCTGACCCATGTCTGTTTGACCTCAGAGCTCAGATCTTTTTTTTTATATAACAGCTTTACTGAGACATAATTCACATACCATAAAATTCATGGTTAACTTTAAAGTCACTTTAAAGTATACATTTCAGTGTTTTTTAGTATATGCACAGAGCTTTGCAACCATCACCACTATCTAATTTTAGAATATTTTCCTTTCCCCAGAGGAAACTCTACCCATTTGATAGTCACTCCCCATTCATTTCCCCTCTCCCTCAGCCCCTGAAAGCCTCTTATCTAAAATTTTGAGGGACCACCAAACTGTTTTTCAATTTGGCTGCACCTTTTTACATTCTTACTGTCAATGTATGAGGATTCCGATTATTTCGCCCTCACCAACACTTGTTATTGCCTGCATTCTTTTTATGGGAGCCCTCCTAGTGGGTGTGAAGTGATATCTCCTTGAGGTTTTGATTTGCAAAACCAAATGACTGATGACTAACGATGCAGGACATCTTTCCATGTGCGTGTTGGTCATTTATATATCTTCCTTGGAGAAATCTCTATTCAGATCCTTAGCTCATTTTTTAATTGGGTTATTTCTCTTTTTAGTGTTGAGTTGTAAGAGTTCTTTACATATTCTGGATCATAGTCTCTTATCAGATATATGACTTGCAAATATTTTCTCCGAGTCTGTGGGTTTTTTCATTTCCTCGTGGTGTCTATTAAAGGACAAAAGTTTTAAATGTTAATCAAGTCCAGTTTACTTACATTTTTTCTTTTGTCACTTGTGCTCAGAGCCCAAACTCTTAACTCCACCCCCATGGGGCTCTGCCTTACAGTGACTGTAACTTTCATCTTTCTGCCATATACAACCTCTGCCACTGGTAAATGTAAAGGATAATGCAGGGGCTAAGGCAGGCATTGCTGTGGCTATAGTGATGGGCAGATGGAAGCACAGAGTAGGGTCAGGAATCTCTGGGGGGTCTCAAGCAGGGTGAGGGTGAGAGCGTGTCTCATGGGACTGGAGAGGAACTTTAGAGAATGCAGGATGTGAGCAACAGGAATGGAACCATTGAGGGACAGTCTCAGAGGCTTTGGAAGGTGCAGCATGTACTTTAGGATCATCTCCTGGCCCGGTGTTTGGGCAGTACCAGAGAGGAGTGGTTAAGAGATGAACTTGGAGCCCGAATGTCTGAGTCAAATCCCAGCTTCTCACTCACTAGGTGGCAACTTGGGTAAGTTATCTCACCTCTGTTTCCTCTTCTGGAAGATGAGAATGATGGCATCTGCTCACTTCCTAGGACAACAGGAAGGACTAAATGAAATGATGGCTATAAAGTGCTTGGCCCATTGCTCCACTGACCGTAAACCCTGGACACATGTCAGTCAGTGACATTTTTATATAAAGAGTCTGGAAAGGGCACTTGGGCCATATGAGACAAGTTTATTTCACTCTTTATTCTATCATTTATATCCATGCCCCTTAAAACTCCAAACCCAGGTAGTCACTGGAGACCCAGGGATAGTGAAGCCCTCAAAGGTGGCAGAGTTAGGAGGGTGATAAGAACCATCACAGAGAGGCTGAGAGAAGACACTGGCCATGGTGTGGCATCAGGGAGCACTGATTTCTGGGCCAGTGTTTCATGCCCTTCGATGGGCACATAAATCATCCGGGTGTATTAAGATGCAGCGGGCTGCGGTGGAACTGAGATTCTGCATTTCTGATAAGCACCCAGGAGATCCCAAGGCTGCTGGTCCTCACACCACACTTTGAATAGCAAGGAGCTAAAAGGCCTGAGTGCTAGTCCAAGCTGGGCGGACAGGATGCTAAGCAGAGCCCCTCTGGCCTGAGAACCCAAAATACAGAAGATGGGCCTAGGACAGCTCTATTGTGCAGGTACACACTGAAGATTAAGGAATGAGGGGGCTGAGAAGGAACCCTGCAAAGGACCCATTTTTCTGGGTGACAGATGCAGACCTGGAGACTCAGACAGGCAGGAGCAGACAGAGTCCTAGCATGCCCAGTGGACGCAATCCTCCTGGAAGGGCCACTTCTCCTTGGCTCCTTGCCTTACAGAGACTCCCCCACCCCTGCACAGTGATGCTGGCTAGAGGACCGAGGTGCCACCAGTAGCCACAGTCTCTGTTGTTTCCCACAGGCACTGTGCTCTCGGACATCATCCAGAAGTACTTCTTCTCCCCGACGCTCTTCCGAGTCATCCGCCTGGCCCGAATCGGCCGCATCCTCAGACTCATCCGAGGGGCCAAGGGGATCCGCACACTGCTCTTTGCCCTCATGATGTCCCTGCCTGCACTCTTCAACATCGGGCTGCTGCTCTTCCTCGTCATGTTCATCTACTCCATCTTTGGCATGGCCAACTTCGCTTATGTCAAGTGGGAGGCTGGCATCGACGACATGTTCAACTTCCAGACCTTCGCCAACAGCATGCTCTGCCTCTTCCAGATCACCACGTCAGCCGGCTGGGATGGCCTCCTCAGCCCCATCCTCAACACGGGGCCCCCCTACTGTGACCCCACTCTGCCAAACAGCAATGGCTCTCGGGGGGACTGTGGGAGCCCAGCTGTGGGCATCCTCTTCTTCACCACCTACATCATCATCTCCTTCCTCATCGTGGTCAACATGTACATTGCCATCATCCTGGAGAACTTCAGCGTGGCCACGGAGGAGAGCACCGAGCCCCTGAGTGAGGACGACTTCGACATGTTCTATGAGATCTGGGAGAAGTTTGACCCAGAGGCCACTCAGTTTATTGAGTATTCGGTCCTGTCTGACTTTGCCGATGCCTTGTCTGAGCCACTACGTATCGCCAAGCCCAACCAGATGAGCCTTATCAACATGGACCTGCCCATGGTGAGTGGGGACCGCATCCATTGCATGGACATCCTCTTTGCCTTTACCAAAAGGGTTCTGGGGGAGTCTGGGGAGATGGACGCCCTGAAGATCCAGATGGAGGAGAAGTTCATGGCAGCCAACCCATCCAAGATCTCCTATGAGCCCATCACCACCACACTCCGGCGCAAGCACGAGGAGGTGTCAGCCATGGTTATCCAGAGGGCCTTCCGCAGGCACCTGCTGCAACGCTCTGTGAAGCATGCCTCCTTCCTCTTCCGTCAGCAGACGGGCAGCAGCCTCTCCGAAGAGGATGCCCCTGAGCGAGAGGGCCTCATCGCCTATGTGATGAATGAGAACTTCTCCCAGCCCCTTGGCCCAGCCTCCAGCTCCTCCATCTCCTCCACTTCCTTCCCACCCTCCTATGACAGTGTCACTAGAGCCACCAGTGATAACATCCAGGTGCCGGGTTCTGACTACAGCCACAGCGAAGATGTCGCCGACTTCCCCCCGTCTCCAGACAGGGACCGTGAGTCCATCGTGTGAGCCTCGGCCTGGACACATCATGTGAGCTGGCCAGGACACACCAAAAAGTAGCCTTTTGCACCGCGGCAAACCCAAATGCAGTCAGTCACAAACAGCCTGGGGCCTTCCTGGCTTTGGGAGTAAGAAATGGGCCTCAGCCCCGTGGATCAACCAGGCAGAGTTCTGTGGTGCTGCGTGGACAGCCGGAGCAGTTGGCCTGTGCCTGGAGGCCTCAGACAGACCTGTGACCTGGTCTGGTCAGGCAATGCCCTGGGGCTCTGGACAGCAACTTCATCCCAGCTGCTGAGACGAAATATAAAATTGAGACTGTATATGTTGTGAATGGGCTTTCATAAATTTATTATATTTGATATTTTTTTACTTGAGCAAAGAGCTAAAGATTTTTCCATGGACATGGGCAGCAATTCACGCTGTCTCTTCTTAACCCTGAACAAGAGCGTCTGTGGAGCAGCCGGAACTCTGTTCTCAAAGCAGAAGTGGAATCCAGTGTGGCTCCCACAGGTCTTCATTGCCCAGGGGTCGAATGAGGTCCCCCTCCCACTTGACCTGAGATGCTGGGAGGGCTGAACCCCCCACTCACACAAGCACACACACACAGTCCTCACACATGGAGGCCAGACACAGGCCATGGGACCCAGACTCCCACTCTAAGGGAGACAGGCCTTTCCCTGCCGGCCCCCCCAAGGATGGGGCTCTTGTCCGCGGGGCTCACTCTGGCTTTCTGTTGTCTCCAAGGTCCCATTTTCCCCCTGCGTTTTCACGCAGGTCATATTGTCAGTCCTACAAAAATAAAAGGCTTCCAGAGGAGAGTGGCCTGGGTCCCAGGGCTGGCCCTAGGCACTGATAGTTGCCTTTTCTTCCCCTCCCATAAGAGTATTAACCATAAAACCAAAGGGCACAAGGGTGCCAGCCCCACTCACGGCCTGGCATACAGCTTGTCCTTGCTCCTGGAACCTGGCGGGCCCTGCCCAACAGGCCAAGGGAAGAGAAGGCTGAGCCATGTGGGTTTGGGGCTAAGAAGTTCACCGGCCCTGAGCCATGGTGGCCCCTCAGCCTACCTGAAGAGAGAAAATTGGCCATCTCCCAGGGTTCTCTGGACCATGTGCGGAGGAGTTTTCTGTGTGGTCCCCAGCTCCCCTCCAGACACAGAGACATGGGAGTGGGGAGGGGAGCTTGGCCCTGTGCCCTCTGCAGGGAAAGGGATGGTCAGGCCCAGTTCTTGTGCCCTGAGAGGGGAATGAACCATGGCTCCTCTGAGAGAGGGGGCACTGTGGTCAGGCCCAGCCTCTCTGGCTCAGCCCGGGATCCTGATGGCACCCACACACAGGACCTATTTGGGACAAGGTCCAGGTGGTCCTATAGGTCTTGTGAAAAGGCTTTTTCAGGGAAAAATATTTTACTAGTCCAATCACCCCAGGACCTCTTCAGCTGCTGACAATCCTATTTAGCATATGCAAATCTTTTAACATAGAGAACTGTCACCCTGGGGTGACAGGGTCAACTGGTGGAGCCTGAGCAGGCAGGGGCTTGGCTGCCCCATTCCAGCTCTCCCACAGAGCCCCTCCATCAGGCGCATGCCTCCCAGGCCACCTCAGTCTCACCTGCCCGCTCTGGGCTGGCTGCTCCTAACCTACCTCGCCGAGCTGTCGGAGGGCTGGACATTTGTGGCAGTGCTGAAGGGGGGCATTGCCGGCGAGTAAAGTATTATGTTTCTTCTTGTCACCCCAGTTCCCTTGGTGGCAACCCCAGACCTGACCCATGCCCCCGACAGATCTAGTTCTCTTCTCCTGTATTCCCTTTGAGTCCAGTGTGGGGCATGGTTTAACTGTCCCAGCGACGTTTCTCCAAGTGGAAATCCTATTTTTGTAGATCTCTGTGCTTTGCTCTCAAGGTTTGGAGAGGTGTGTGCCCCTGCTGGGCGCTCACTGCCCGCTGCACAGGCAAGAATGCGGTTGGGAGGCAGGCCAGGCTGCCAGCCCAGCTGGCCGGAAGGAGACTGTGGTTTTATGTGTGTGGACAGCCCGTGAGCCTTGAGACAGGTGCCTGGGGCTGGCTGCAGACGGTGTGGCTGGGGGCAGGGGTGAGCCGGACCCAACCCTTAGCTTTTAGCCTGGCTGTCACTTTTTTGATTTCCAGAACTGCACGATGATCAGCAGGAGGGGAAAAGAGAGTAGGAAAAAGGAGGGAAAGACAGACATCAAGTGCCAGATATTGTCTGAATTAATAGAGCACTTCTCACCAAACTTCATGTATAAATAAAATACATATTTTTAAAATAAACCAATAAATGGCTTACATGACCTGGTCTAGGCTCTGTCCTTATGCTGAGATTTGACAAGAGTGGTAGCAGAGGCCCGAGGGCCTGGGAGATGGCCTCATCCCGAGCAAGTCTGGGGAACTTGCTGAGAGAGCATAACACTGACCATCATAACCATGGTTTAAGCCTACAGTTCTGTGGCAGTAAGCACATGCATACTATGGTACCACAATCACCACTGTCCATGTCAGGAACGTTTGTGTCAGCCCAAATTACAACCCTGCACCCATTAAACACTAACTCCCCACTCCTCCCTTCCCCCAGCCCGGGGAACTGCCATTCTGCTTTCCATCCCTACAAATTCGACTACCCTAAGTGCCTTATATAAGTGGAATCATACAATATTTGATGAATTCGACTATCCTAAGTGCCTTATATAAGTGGACTCATGCAATATTTGTCCTCTTGTGACTGGCTTATTTCACTTACCATATGTTCTCAAGGTTCATCCAGGTTACAATATATTTCCTTCTTTTTTAGGATTTTTTTCAGAATTTTCAGAATTTTTTCTTAATTTTTTTCATAAATTTTCAGAATTTACATCCTTTTTAAAGCTGAATAAGATTCCATTGTATGTATTTTGCTTACCCTCTCACCCACTGAGGGACACTTGAGTTGCTTCCACATTTTAGTTATTGTAAATAATGTTGCTGTGAACATGAGTGCACAACTATCTGAGACCTTGCCTTCAATTCTTTCGGGTAGGTACCCAGAAGTGGGATTGCTGTTTCATATGGCAATTTTATTTTTAATTTTTTAAGGAACTGCCATACTGTCTCCCACAGCACAAGGGCTCCAGTTTGTTGACATCCTCATCAACTCTTGTTATTTTCTGTTTTGTTCAAAGAGCAATCATCCTAATCTGTCTGAGATGGTATCTCATTGTAGTTTGTTTGTTTGTTTTTTATTTTTTGAGATGGAGTCCCACTCTGTCACCCAGGCAGGAGGGCAATGACACGATCTCAGCTCACTGCAACCTCCGCCTTCCGGATTCAAGTGATTCTCCTGCCTCAGCTTCCCGAGTAGCTGGAACTACAGGCACCAGCCACCACCAGCTAATTTTTGTGTTTTTAGTAGAAATGGGGTTTCACCATGTTGGCCGGGCTGGTCTCGAACTCCTGACCTCAGGTGATCCACCCGCCTTGGCCTCCCAAAGTGCTGGAATGACAGGCATGAGCCACTGTGCCCGACCTCATTGTAGTTTTGATCTGCATTTCCCTAATGATCAGTTATGCTGAATATATTTTCATGTGCTTATTGGTCATTTGTATTTCTTCTTTGGAGAAATGTCTATTCAGGTCCTTTGAATGTGGTTGTTTTCTTTGTCACTGTTGACTTTTAGAAGTTCTCTATATATTCTGGATATTAATTCTTTATCAGATATATGATTTGCATATATTTTTCCCCATTCTGTGGGCTGCCTTTTTACTCTGTTGATACTGTCTTTGGATGCACAAAACTTTAATTTTCATGAATTCCATTGTCTATTTTTTCTTTGTTGCCTGTGCCTCTTCCCATCTTATTGACTGTTTTTTCAGCCTCCCTTGGCAGAACATCCTCTGGTGTCTAATGTTCAAGTTCTTTAGGCCCTGTGCTCTATCCTAGAAAGACTGGAAAACACATTCTTTTCCCTTCCCATGGCTTTGAAGAGTCTTGATCTTTTCCTGAGGCCAGGTCTCTCCCTGGAGCCCCAGGCCAGCAGATTCAGCTGCTTACTTTGGACATCTCCAGAGCTTTCAGGCCCAGCCCAGCCAACTCTGAGCTCCTCTGCCTTACCCTGAGCCTATCTGTGAAGGTGCTCCTACAAATCCATCCTCAGCCACATGCAGCCCTCACCTCTCACCCCTCACCTGGTCCAAGCCCCGTTGGCTCCACCTCCTTCGTGTCTTTCAAATCCCACCTTTTGGCTCCATCTTATTGTCCCTTCCTTGGGTGAGGCCAGCAACTCACCTCATGGAGGCCACCAGGGAAGCTCCTTCCTCTAACCTCATCCATTCCAAACTCTTCTCCACTCAGCTACCAGAGTGATATAATTACCCCCTGGATAAGACTGCACAGTGGCTTTCTGTTGCCTTAGGATCAAGGCAACCCCCTCAGAGGTCCCCCCAGCCCTACCAACCTCTAACTGCATCTCTTCCAACCCCTCAAAGGCTCCAGACTCTTCCTCCTCCCAGCCTTGCCAGAACACTCTTCTCCTTTCCACTTGGCCTTCAGGCCTCCCTGCGTGTCCCTTCCTCTGGGAACCTCCCCTGACACAGCCCGGCCCCTCCCCACAATGTGCCCACTCTCGATGCTTCCCTGCCACAGCCCTCCACGCTCTGTGCAAACCCTGCAAAGCCATTGTGTGAACAAACACGATCCCGGATGTAATAGAACCCAGGCTTGGTCTCTATCCCTTCCTGTCCCTTTCAGCTTTATTCAGTGGTGATCATCTTCCCTGACCCTGGGGAAAACCTGGGCAGATCCTGTAGCTTTGCAGCTCAGTCTCAGGTTATTTTACCTAATTAGTCAGTTTGTGTTGTAAATACAGACTCAGCCAGGCCAAGAGTGCATTTGATCCCATGACTTGTCAGAGACAGGGTGGCTGGTGGCTTCTCCTCCCCAGGCCGGGCAGATGGTAAGGGATGCTGTCACACAAGGCATGTTTGTGGGATCTCTCTTCTGGGTGCCCCCTTATGATCTCTTCCTTTGCCCATGGGAACCATGAGCCTAGCCCTTCCTGGCAAGGTCCCTTGTCCCTCCAGGTGGCCCTGTCATAGTGGTGCACACTGGCTCTCTCTCCATCTGCCCACCTCTGGCCCACAAGAAACACTTGGAGCACTTGCCCACCTACTCTGGGTGGTGGCCATGCCCTGACAGCAGTGCCTTCTGCAGCCAGCCCCAGCACTGCTGGCCCACAACCCTTCCTCTGGGTTCTCAGGGCAGGAGTCAGGCCACACTCGCTCATCCAGTTGAGCTTTCTTGGATCCTGCAGGCCCAGTTCTCTGTGTCTCCAACACCTCAAAGCTCTCTGAGAAGCTCTGGAGGCCCCTTGGCCTGCCCGGAGTTAGAAGGTGGTATGTACCTGCCACAAGCCTTGCCAGAACGTCCTGCAAAGGAAGGCTCGGGTCCTGGAAACAGCACAGCAGCAGCTCTCTCCGAAGAAACTGGCTCCCAGGGTCCCACAGCTCTCCACTCTCTCAGACCCCTTTTTATATCCTTGATGTGCCCAGGGGCCCAAGTGGGTGGCACCATTTATTTCCCTTGCAAACCAACTTCATAGGAGAGGCATGTGGTTCAGTGCCCTGAAACCTCCGATATTGGTTCCTTGGTCCAAACTGGGACAGGGATAGTCCATTCACCACTGGGTTAACCATCTTTCTCCAGCCACACAAGAACTTTTTCAAATGGCAGACTGTGTCCAGTTTTTTGGGTTTTTTTGTTTTTTAAAGAATATCAGAATTTAAAATAGCGGTGTATCTCACGTGGTAAGAGTGAGTGTTGTTTGGCGAAACTGTTGATTCAGTTCTATATAAAAGTTGGGAGAGTGCCCATGTGTGTGTCCTGGTGAGTGACAGAGAATAAACTTTTTACTAGGAATTTCAGTGAAAAGAACTTAAAAGCAGCACAAGAACAGAGTCTATGTCTGCTTTACTCAGCACTGCATCCTGGGACTAGCTCAGTGGCTGGCACATGGTGGTAACTCAATGACTATTGCGTGTGTGAGGAGAGGAGGGAAGCTGGAGACTACGACCCCACCGTGAGGCTGTGGGGGAGTCAGGTCTTTCTCACAAGCTCCAGGGATCCTAACTACCGCCTTGGTCTGGGCCAGCAGGGAGCTTCCTGCATTGTTCTTGAAACCAAGGCTTGGAGCCTGGGCTTCTCAGCCCCTTGGGTGGGGTCTTCCCTGGCTGCCTGAGGTGGGCCCTCACCTGGCCTGGGATGTGGGCGGGCTCACCTGGAAGGAGGAGTGAGTGAGGCTGGAACGTGGCTGAGGCCGGGAAAGGAGGCCTGTGCTTGCAGCAAGGCTGCAGCTGCCACTGGGTCACTCTGGGGTGAGGCTGGGGTCCAGGCAGCGGGTGGCTCTGTGAGTGATGGATGCAGCTTCTGTGTCAGCGGGAAAGCATGCAGCCCAGAGATCTCAGCCCTTGGCAGGGAGAGAGATGCTCCTGGACAGACGTCAGCTCTCACCCTGGGGGCCACGGCAGTGTTGGCAGCTTCCCTACCTCTGTGCCAGGAGCTCCTCTGACATCAGCCCTGATGGCCACGAGACTCAAAGCCCAGGAGGTTGGGAGGGGCCAGGGAGACAGAAGCCCAGGCACTCCTACAGGCAGAGACAGCAACTGGGGACAGTAACTGAGAGCGAGGCAAGGGTGTGGTGGCAAAGATGCCAAACAGCAGCCACTGATGGGCTCAGAGAAACAGCAGGGACTAGTGTCTCCTGACCCTGGCTGCTTCTGAGACTCTGTGTGTGCTGGCATGGTGCCTGTACACCCTACCATTGCTCTAAGCACACTGTTACTGTGCAGCCCACCTGTGAGTCTAAGGGCTGTGCAAGGCCAGGCCAGACCTGTTTGTTCATAACACAGTCTTCAACCCCTGCCCCAGCACCTGGCACAGATAAGGAGCTGGGAATATTTGCAGAAGAAAAACTGATTGATCAGCCAATTCACTCTCTGCTGAGTTCCCCTGGACCTGCTCCTCTGTTTGAACCCTTCTTGTCCCCTCAAGCTTCCTGCCCCTTTTCTCACTAGCAGTCCCACCTTCCACTCTTTTTCTGGAAGGAGGTCAGACACAGGACCATTTGAAATTCTCGCCAGATGGAGAAACACACATGGATTCACCATGCACTTGTGCACACACAAGGCACAGAGGCTGTAGTCAGTCTGTCAGGGATGAGGAGGGGCACAGGGAGATCCCTGAAATCCCAGGAATGAATGTCAGGCTTCCTGTCCCAAACCTCCTTGGGCCAGGGCCCTCAGGACTTTCCCAGGGACGGAGGCA